AAGGGCGACAGACCCCCTCTTTAATACCAACTGCAAATCATGCCTGTCACGCCCACCGCACAAGTCAACTAACCCTCCCCCACCTTGGGCCACTTCCACTGGGTGCACTGGGGGTCCCACAGGCCGGGACTGGAGAGGAGGCAACCTCACCCTGATCCGGCTCCTCCACATCCACCACACACCCAAACTATCCTCCATTTTCTCCACCGGTTCCTCACCACCAAGGAACTGCAACCTGGCAGCGCCCTTTCTGCGTTTTAGCTTGGGGACAAGCTCAGCCGTATGCGACGCTTCCTGAGGCCGTCGAGGCGGACAAGCACCCTTCATCGGAGAGTCAGCTGGAAGTGCCACCTGAGAACAGGGGGGCAACCCCACACCTCAAATGGCTCCACAGGTGGAGCAACCGCACCAGATCCGCACACAACAGCAGAATGGGATACCTCTAAGAGAGTAGGTAATTATCAAAGAAGGCACCAAGCCAAGAAGGCTTGGCAGTGATATTTAGTGTCAAGAGGACACTAAATATCACTGAGAATGCCAATATGAGAACAGAAATGCATAAGATGAACGATATCAAAAGTATCCGATCCACCAAGAATTCTATCGAGGGACAAGTGACCGCGGGGAACGGTCAGAAAGCAAGACACACGCTCGTCCTGGAAGTCAGGACATTCAACAAGGATATGCACAACTGTAAGACGGACAATGTAGTTAGGACAATAAGGAGCAGAACGGTGCTCCATTAAGTGTCCATGAGTTAAGGGCATATAGCCAATACGCAACTTTACCAGAGCCGTTTCCCACCGCCGGTTACGGTGGTAGGAAGAAGGCCACAGGGACATTATTCTTAAGAGTACGCAGTTTGTTACCAGTAACAGAAGACCAACAACCCTGCCAACGGGAAAGGATGGAGGAATAAATAACTGAGTAAAAGTCGGAATAACGAATACCTTTATGGGAGATAGGACAAACGTGGATAGCTTCCCTAGCGGTAGCGTCCGCACGCTAATTTAAAGTGACACCAATATGGCTGGGAACCCAGCAAAACTCAACTGTATTAAATCTATTAGAGATAAGAAACAACCAATGTTGAATCTTGACTACCACCAGATGGACTGGATTAAAAGACTCCAGAGCCATGAGGGCACTGCGAGAGTCAACTACAACCACAAAGGAGGATTCACAGCGAGAAAGCAGGAGACGAAGAGCATAGAGAATAGCATAAAGTTCTGCCATGAAGATGCTAGTCTCTGGAGGAAGGCGACACATATAGGTGTGGTCAGGAAAAACAACAGAGTAGCCTACACCGCCTGCTGACTTAGACCCATCGGTGAAGATGGAAACGGAGCGGGAATGTGAAGAAAAGTGTTCAAGGAAAAGGCATTTCAGAACTGTAGGAGGAGTAAAAGCTTTAGTGATGTGGGTCGGGAATTTGCAATATTGAGGAAGGGGGGGACCCTCCATGGGGGTAAGGACGGAACAACACGAGGAGAAATATAGGGGAGGCTTCTCCATCACCACCACCATACGCACCCCATGAACCTCCACTTTCACATTTGGCTGGACACAAAGCCTGTTATGCTCAACCACAGCCAAATATACCGGTGGGCAAGCGACCCTCCCTGTACTACAGGCCACACCACCGCCTCATTGCTCGCAACCGGCACTCGTACACACACACAGGCTAATTGTCCGGAATGCCATGGTACAGGACAACACCCCCGCAGTCTTCCTGGACCTAAAGAGGTGGGAAATCACGTTCAATTAAAATAGTTACCTGTTCAGTTGCACCAACTGCACACGCCGCCGCCAGGTGATCCGACAGTCCACATCTATAACATGTATGAGGCTGGCCAGCATATTGATATCAGAGTGAACCCCAACAGGAAAATGGATGAGGGTATAATCCATACCAGGAACATGGTCAGAGTCCTGGTGTCAGCAAGTATTTCCTTACAATAGCCAGCATATACCTTATTTCACTGAACGCTCAATACCTTTCCAAACTGCCCAAACAGTCAGGTCAAAAGCCCATCCATCATTTCAAAAGGGGCACCACGTACCGCCAAATACATCAACGTCACACTCAAGTTGACTACCCATACCGTGTTCTTGCCATCAGACATAGGAAAAAACAATCCTCACAACTCTCGAGAAACTGCTGGAACACCTGGCAGTGAACAAACTGCTGGCGAATTTCTGCCACTGAGCACTTCCACGAGCATAATTGCCACTGCCATATGGTCCTCAGGTGTAGAAAACTTGAGTCCAGCTGACGAAGATCGCTTCAGTGGAGGCAACGACAACCCAGTCCTGGAGAAACCATACGCAGCCCCTGCTGGGTACCATGCAATGCACGGAAAAGGCACCCCAACCACCAACAACCACCACTTGTCAACTGCAAGTCGCCGTCTTCCCCATCGTCTTCGGCTGATGCGCATGGCCCTGTGTCCTCGCCTCAGGTCCCAGATGTGCTGGGTGTTAGGGGTGGCTGCAGAGCATCCTGCTGTGTGTGTGGCCCGGTTCCCCCTGTGGTAGAGGCTGCTGCAGTTCTGCGTCGGTTCGTCCGGCTGGTGGTGCCCATGTTTCTGGGTCGGCTTCCGGCTCTGACGATATCCGGCCGGAGCCCAAACGTTCCCGGCTTTCGTCTTCTGCCTGGGCCGATGTTGGGGACTTCAGTGACGTTGTTGGGTGTTGACGGTGTGGATCCGGATGCGTCGTTGTCTCCGCAGTTGGTGGTGGCGGAGGTCCATGTGCCTGCTGGTGCTGGTGCCCGTGTCTCGGGAGTACCTTCTGTTCCTTCACCGCCAGGAGTTTCCGCAGTGGGGTGTGGTGCCTTCCGCTGCCAGGGATAGTGCGGATGCTGGTGCTGGGCGTGGCCTGGTAGTGACTTTGAGAAAGGATCCGCACTGCCCTGGTTCCCTGCAGTCGTCTGGTGGTGTGCCCGTGGCCGCTGGTGCCCCTGTGGTGGTAACCTATGTCCGGCCCCCTCCTGTAAGGATGCGCGTTGGGGACCTGGAGGATGTGTTGCCGGCCTCTGTGATGCCGCCGGGTCACTGGGCAGTGATTGCCGAGTTCATGCTGTCTGAAAGGCTGGAGGACTCTCATGGTGGGCAGGTTCCATACGTGTGAGATAGAGTGGCGGTTATTCGCCTTCCGAGTGATACCATCTGGGTCCCCTGTTTACGGATGTTTGTTGCCAGGATTCCGGATGAAATGGTGTCCCCGGTGGGTGGTCCTGACCCTTGGAGGTGGCTGCATTGGGAGGCGTTCAATGTGCGGTTCCCCCAGGTCATGTTCCCGGGGAAAATATGTCAGCTGATTTTATGTTTTTTTCCTAACTGTAGTGTTGTGTGCCCCTATGGCGTTTTATTTGCCCTAATGTATTATGTGTCCGTGCCTCTCCCTTATTTGTTGCGAGGCCGGTGTTTTGGCGAGTGTTTTTATTCCTGTATTTGCTTTTGTGTTGTTACTTTGCCCTGTGTGTTCTATTCATGCTTTGAGTGTTGTGATTGTTTGTTGTCTGCTGTGCTTTCTTGTTGTATTTCGTGTTGTTCATACTGATGTACTTTGTCGGTCCTTCAGCCCGGTGATTTTGTTTGTTTTGTTCTATACTGGCATAATGTTTTATAATGTTAATATGTTTTATTGTTTTGTTTGCTTTGCTTGCATGTTTGTAATTGTTTTCTGTTTTGTGTCTTGATGTGTGTTTCTCATGTTTTGTTAATTGTTGTACTGGGCTGTCGGTCCTTTGTTATATTTCACTTGTTTTATTGTATTTATTGTCTTTCCTTTGCATGTAAAAAAAAAACTTGTCAACTGAAGACTATACGGTGACACATGCGCCCCTCTGGTGGCCATCCAGCGACTCCATACCCAATAACTGGGAGGATTGAATTCGGCAGGGACGATGCAACTCTTCACCGCCAAATACAGGGGTTACTGAAACAACACATATAGCACCATGGAGAGTGGGCAGCCCTGCTGAACCGATCTCTCATGGCAAAGAAAGCACTCTGTAACCCGTTGACACAAGCACTACTCCTATACTCAAGATACAGCATCCTCACCCCAGGAAATAACACCCTCAGCCACACCCACCCGATGCAAAACCTGGGTAACAAACTCAAGATCAACTCGATCAAAGGTCTTAGACCAATCCAAATTTATCATCGAAGTTTGAATATTATATGCAGTTATATAAAACAATATGTCCCTAACGATATTATTACAACTCACAATCGAATGATCAGGCATTCCACAAAACTGATCCAGCAACACAATCCGACCCATAACAAGCCTCAGACGGTTCGCCAACAGTTTCGATATTATTTGATAATCTTGGTTATCTAATTAGCAGTCCAAATGGAGCTGAATTAAAGACTAAATAGAAATACAACACACACAATTATAACTTTAGTTAAAGCATGAATGTTGTACACCTGATGAAAACATATGGCACTAATTGCCATCAAGGAAATGCAAAAAATAAAAGCATATCCTCATAGCCTGTTGTGAAAATGTTCGCGTCGCACACGAACAAGCTCTGCGTTTTCACATGTGCTCAAATGTCTTGCCACACAATGGTCAGTTACACCCCTCTCGCCTTCCCACCAGTCAACAAGGCCACGAAATGCACAGGTGAAAGTATCCAGCGATAACTTTGAAACTACACTTGTGGCAGTTGGAGCCGGCTGGCTGTGGTCTATCACGAGGATAACTTCATAAACACACCACATCTCCCACGACGATGAGGCACAACATTAATCAAAAACACAATCACGAATGTAAATAAACAGTTCTCACATTGGTTACTAAAACAACATAATAAATATACTGGACAATCAAACCTAAACTATTGTACGATATGCAGCAGCAGGTAGTGGGTGAGTGAAGGTTGTCAAGCTGCTGTATACGGAGCCCGTGCATCCCGCCCCCCCTCCTCACCTGGGCACAACACCGCCTCATCAACATTCCACACTTCAGTTTCGTTCTTGTGGATCAGGTGGAAGCGTTCCTCAACACTTTTCTACGTTCAGAGTACCACAAAATGCTCATTACTAACAATGGCTTCAATCTTAATAATCCAGTCTTAACGTATACAGAGTATTATCATTGGTGTTACAAAGTCTAAACTTGTATAAAACACTGGTGTACCAAGTTTAATGCACCATAAGTGCTACAAAATCTACACTTGCTTAAGACACTGGTACACCAAGTCTTACGCACCTGAAGTTCTACAAAATCTACACTTGCTTAAAATAGTGGTACACCAAGTCTTACACAACTTAAGTGCTACAAAGTCTACGCCTGTATAAAATAGTGGTACCTCAAGTCTTGCGCACCCTAAGTGTTACAAAATCTACACATGAATAAAATCGTGGTACACAAAGTCTTATGCACCCTAAGTGCTACAAAATCTACACCTGTATAAAACAGTGGTACACCAAGTCTTATGCACCTTAAGTGCTACAAAATCTACACTAGTAGAAAACACTGGTAACAATAAATATCTTCTACACCTTAAGTGCTACAAAATTTCTAATACTAAAAACCTTTTAAAATTAAATAACCTTCAAAATATGTAGACAATCAACAAGCAAGCTTCCACATAATGTGGTACAAAATCTACAATATTAAAAAAAAGTCAAGTTTAATAGCCTGTAGAGTACACTAAACATACACCACAAACCTTCTAGATAATAAATGCTACAAGATCTACATTTACTATAAAACATTTACAAGTTTTCCACGGTGTACACACAGCACTACAAAGTTTACATAACACACAGCATGTCCCCAAATGTGTAACTTGCAGGCAGAGCACCATCACACAGTCTTCCTCCTTCAGTGGTTTAAACTGGAAAGTTCACATACGTGTCATAATTCTCCAGGTACACAACAGCAACACTGTAGAGGAGCTCAAACTGGGCCTGGAGGAATGACAAGAACACTTATGTTTAATCTGTAAACCTTGTACTTGAGTGAAGTCTAAACTTGAGGGAGCGAAAAAACTTTGACTTGAATTCAATTATAACCTGTAGTTGAGTAAGGTAAAGCTGGTACAGTACTTTTGAGTTTACCTAATACTTGATTAAGGTAAACCCTAAACTTGAGCAAGATAAACTATACTTGAGTAAAGCTAAACCCTTATATTGGAAACTGGTAAACCTTATACTTGAGTAAAGGTACACACTATACATGAGCAAAGTAAACCCTATACATGAATAAGGTAAACCCTATAATAAGATATGTTAAATCACATTAATAATAATAACACTACACACAATTTTTTCAGTGTCAAGAGTAGTTAACAGATGGAATGCATTAGGAAGTGAAGTGGTGGAGGCTGACTCCATACATAGTTTCAAAAGTAGATATAAGAGCCCAATAGGCTCAGGAATCTGTGTAACACCTCTCGAGAGTATAACGGATGCACGATAGAAAACGCGTATATAAACACGAACATTAATGTGTCAAGATTTACGAATGATGGTTCAGAGAAATGACTATTATTAACGGTGTCAAATAGTTTTGTCTAAGTGGGTTAAAAGTGTAACATTTATGGGGATGTAAAGTAACTAGGCCTAGAAAAAGTGGTCCTAGACAGTGTTCTTAGCTAGATGACTTCGGTCTCTAGCACAAACTTTATCTTGGAATTTCTTATTATTTTATTTCATGCATGTGTCTATGTGATAAGTCGGTCCTGGTGATGAGTGTCCAGGTTTCCTGTTTGGTACCAGTGTATGGGTACATAATTTGTTTTTATATTTGCATGTCTTTATTTCATTAAAATGTTGTAATGTGAAGTAATGTTTCTGTTGTGGTAAGAGGTAGTCTTACTATCAGTGTATGCAGGGTGCATAGAGATTGACCCTGGCACTATTGTCTTGTGCGGTATATGGATTGGCCCACAAGTGTTGTGTTAACGTACGGTTCTATTGATGAGTCTTAATGTCTATTGTTGTATTTTTACCATGTTTCATAACTTGTATAACTCATACGTTTGGGTGTGGGTCATGAGGTACCCAGCAGATGTTTGGGGTATGCCCACTTAGGTATAATGTTTCCTGTTATTTTTTAATTAGTTAGATTTAAATGTTAGAGTAGGAGTATTACATATATATATATTTTTTTTTTCATGTTGCTGATCATTTTTTTTTTATGTTTTGTTCTTCAGACCTTCTGAGGAAGGCTTGCTAGCCTGTCTAGTGTGCAGGCAGGATATGTCATTGGTTCTTAGTATTCGTTATTGCCATGTATTGTCACTCAGGGTTGTATTATGTAGCCTTGTGTTATTCCTTGTATTTTGACATTATATTACTTTTAGTTACTTGTAATTTTCCTGTTCCATTAGGAATTTTTTTTTTATGTCATGCTTGTTTTAAGGCGATTTTTTGTTTTGGTTTTCCAGCCTTCGGGGGGAGCCTTGCTGGACTGCCTCGGGTGCAGTCGGGATTTGTTTTTTCATTGATACTTTATTGTCATATTAGGATATCAGAATTGTATCATGTGTGACGGTATCATTGCTGGTACTTTTGCCAGGATTCTTTTTGTGCTTTTGTGTCTAATTATACATTTATGTTTTGTTCTTACTACAGTATAACTGTATAATGTACTTTGCTTCATGTTAATTTAGTTAGCTTACTTTTCTCATTATGTCACTGGCAATTTTTTTTTTCTTTTTAGGGTTAGTTGTGGTATTTTGGATGAGTTAGGATAAGACAAAATTGGGCTTAATTATCATACACCCGATTTTGTCTTAACTCCGGGGAAAGGGAGCTGTAACACCCAGGACCTCCCTCCCCTTAGAGTTCACACCCAGGGAAGCCTTCTCCAAGAGGTCAGCCCAGATGACCTCCGGTTTATCTTGTATATTGTTTATAAATTCCTGGGTTAGTCTTAGTCAGCATAGTTTCAAGTATGTAATATTTCATGCAAGGAAATTAGACTCCAGATTCTTATGTGTAAACATCCCTGGATCTCCCCCTTTTGGCCAGGTCAGAGGTCAGCCACACACGTAATTAATAACTCCTCTCTTGAAGAGTGTATGGTGAATGTCAAACAAGCTTGTTGAAATATTTCTTGAGTGTTTGTACACTTTTGGTGGGTAGCAACAGCAGATCTCCCCCTCCCCCCTGTGGGGGTTGTATATAGAGGGCCTGTAGGAACATAGGAAGAGGCAGAGGGCGGTACACCGGGATCGAGAACGGGGCTGTGAAGAACATCTCAGCCAGGGAGAGACAGATAGCTTAAGGTAATGTGTGTGATCTCTGAGTCTTTGTTCCATGTCCAAATTTCTTAACTTTTTGCCAGTGTTAGCGTAGCATTTATAAGTGGTGATTGACATAATTTTGGTCTCAATAAACTCGTTAAATTTCCCGTCTTTGTCAATTGTTGAATCCTCTTAGCCTTTTGGATATAGTGGCTGACAACCGTTTTCAAAATTAATGACAGTCATAGAAAGTACTCTCCAAGTCAAGCAATGTTTCTTGCCTCGTTGCTTGATATAGTTTCAATGGTCAAAGGCAGATGGTGGCAGCGTATTTAATCTCTGTGTTAGCATTTCCTTATTGGCAGTGTACCTTTGGTTCCGGTGTAACCATCATATGTCAGCTCATAACAGTGTTATCAAGTGCAACCGATGAGGAAGTGTTACTCAGGATAGTTTAGTGTTCCATTATAGTGGTACACTTTAGGGTGGTGTTACAATAGAGAGGTGTTACATCTGTACACCAGTTGATTGACAATTGAGAGGCAGGACCAAAGAGTCAGAGCTCAACCCCCGCAAACACAACTATGTGAGTACACACACACACACATACACTTATGAGCATTACACAGAAGGCTGCGCTGACTTACCTGAGAGACAAAGAACTGTGGTCGAGCCCGGCGAAGTTTCACAACAGTGCGGTAAACATCAATCTTATTAGATTTCTGAATGTTCTCTATAGTCAAGAGGGCGCCAGCCAAGAGTCCACACCCCGTCACCCCGTCACTGCCAAGATCACGCTTACAGTTCACACATAATATTCAGGACCTCATAATCACTCATGATCAAGCGTGAACATGGAATAAGTAAGGAATATTATGAGACTATTGACGACAGCACTGTGAAAAACGGGATGAAAATGGGTAACTTTTGAAATAGGATAAACAGATAGGTGTCCAAAATCAATTTGATGTAAATAAAACTGAACCAAATACCAGTAGGCCTAATATTTTTTTAGATAACCTGACTTCACTTTATTGACAAAATATGAATATAGTGTATTTTGCTTTAAGTGAATGCTTTATTTGGATGTTATGTTTCATTCCCAGGAATAATTGATGTATTAGTGAGGACGGCAACAAAGAGTATGCAGATCATACAAGATGAAAGTAAAGGAGCACCTACCCACAAGACAGGAGGAGAGGACCAGCCTCGGGAGACCGTAGAGACTGCAGCACCATCTCTGACACTTCGACCAGGACGTGGGGCGAGGGAGGCACTTGGGTCCTGTACGGCCACGAAGTAAGCTGGTACACGCTCACTGTCTGGTGTATATTCTGGACACCAAGTTTAAACATCACTCATTTCCCACTCATGACATTCCTCTCACTTAGCTATATATTCCTAACTCACTTAACTATTATTAGACATAATATTTGAGAAGTGTGGAAAATATTTGGTAATATACGTTGAATGGTTGCTTTGCATACAAATATAATATTCTTTTACAATTATAAAGTACCAAACTATAATGATGATGGAATTATACTGATAACAATTTCAACCATTCTGACCCCGTTGAAATATCAAGGCACAAAAATAAAGTTGATACCATACCTGCTGGGAGAACACCTCAATAGAGTAGAGGTCAAAAGACTTGTAGGGTGTCACATGGAGCGTGTGGACGGTGTAGCGGCCCGCCTGTAGGTCACAGTCGGGTCCAGGCAACACACACGGAAACTCCTGCCAGCAAGCAGGTGATGAGTCACAACGTGGCTGAAGTAGTTTGACCAGACCACACACTAGAAGGTGAAGGGACAACGATGTTTCGGTCTGTCCTGGACCATTCTCAAGTCGATTGTTAGAATGGACAATCGACTTAAGAATGGTCCAGGACGGACCGAAACGTCGTTGTCCCTTCACCTTCTAGTGTGTGGTCTGGTCAATCCTGCCAGCAACATGAAGCAAACATTAATTAAGAGAGCCACACATTGGTTCCACTGAATAATCTTTTGATTTCAGTTTTTGTACAGAGGACTAATTTTCATACTTCAATTATGCTTCAAGATAATTATAGGGTCGTGAATCACAGACAGTAATTATAAAATTGAGGAACCATCCGAACAGTTATTGCCTTAGGATGTGTTAAAATACCCACGTTGGTTGTAATGAAATGCCAAATGAACAAATCCACAAGGGCCGTGACAAGGATTCGAACCTACATCCGAGAGCATCCCAGACGCTGCCTTATTCGACTGAGCTACGACATGGTAAAAGAATTGCAACCAGAAATTCTATTGAATAAATTAAGTAAAATTCATTACAAATGTGTAATGAAGTAAGGGCGAAGAGGTAGAACGGCATATTGACATAACTCGAGTGCATGGAGGGAATTGTGTAAAATCCTGGTTTGTGTCTCGGAGAGGCTGCAGGATCCAAGTAAATTCAGTAGAATTTCTGGTTGCAATTCTTATACCATGTCATAGCTCAGTCGATTAAGGCAGCATCTGGGATACTCTCGGACGTAGGTTCGAATCCTCGTCACGGCCCTTGTGGATTTGTTCATTTGATGCATCACGCTATTGTGATTTTTGTGTAATGAAATGCCATTTTCTGGGTGAGCCCTGGAAGCTCCCTGAAGCTGTCAAACTGACATGTGCCATATTAGTTCAGTGCCATCAGTCCGTGTAGTTCGAATGCCTACCGGGGGCCACGAGCCAGAGCCTGGACCCCTCAGAGAGGCGAAGGGAGAAATAGCGATATGAGCTCTGTATATGTAGAGTTTGTCATGTCTGCCATTGACCAGGGAAAACACTCAGAAATGTAGGTGAACCATTACAAACCTCTAACTGGTTAAAATTGCAACCTACGTCCAAACATAGGCGCAGAATCACCCCTAACAGAAAACAATGAAACAAACAACACGTCATCCAATTAGCAAGCCTGCCTGTTAGCACCTCACCCTCCCCAACAGGGAGAGGGAAACCCCGCTCAGGCTAGAAAGCCGCACCACCCTCAGTTCAAAGAATGATGAAAACCGCCGGAGGGAAGAAGGGTGATAGGGAGCCTCTGGGGCTCACCCAGAAAATGGCGTTTTACCCCTGCGCCAGAGAAAAGCAGGAAGCTCCCCACACTCGACCCCAAGAGGCTACAGTCACGTTATTTTGAAAATAAACCCGGACTGAAAGGGCCACAACAACCAAGGGAGAGAGAAACGAGAGCCCCTGGTCCAGAGATCAAGAAGGCACAAGTCGCATATGAGCAGACCCGAGGTGAAAATAACATGAGAGAGCATGTGGAACAGAGCAGAAGGGGCATCCACCCCGAACACAAGAGGGAGCGGTTCCACCAGCGTCGCACTAGAAGAAACAGTATTTGGAATAAGACGCCGGTCCGGAAGAGCCAAGGACAAAACAACCGGAACTTAACACCTACTATAACCTATGAAGAGATAGGAAATGGCGGAATGACTGCCAGGATTGCATACTGTCGCCAAGGGGAAGCCCGCAGGTGGGACACCATCGAAAGTCACCTGATTGCCACACAAATGGCGAAACACCCGCATAAAAAAACAGACACAATGAGTGGAAGTGAAAGTCAAACCCGCGAGGCACCTCACTGGCCCGACCTGCTGAAAGAGAAGGAGCCGTAGAAAAACTCCCGGGATCGGACACTGTGCAAGAAGCGTCTGAAACCAAGGTTGGGCTGGGCTGACCACACTACCATGGGCCAAGAGAACCACTCTTCCCCAAAGGGATTCGATCATGCCAGAACCCGAAACAACAGCTGGACGGGGACATGAAGGTACAAGCACCCCCACCATGATCAGTCCTGCCAGAAAGCGTTCACCGCGAACGCCTCACAATCGGGGGAAAAGGCACCACATATATTGGGAGGTGCTGGAACTAAGCCAATGGGAAGAGGTCCACCTCTAGGCACCCAAACGTCCGACAAAGCCAAGGAAGGAGGCGGAGTCGACCAGCCACGCCGTGGAAAGAGTAATGAAGCGAGACAGGCCATCCACCAAGACGTTGAACACAATGTGAATGTGAACGGCGTGGAGCTACCCGAAGCGACCAGCCCCAAAGAACCATGAATTGCAGAGTAGTTCAAATGGAGCCGAATCATTGAGCCCCGAGGAAGCAGAATCCCCCGCAGTACACGCCACACAGTAGCAAACTCCCACTCCTAGCTGTGAGCTCAACGGAAGGACGGAACCCAACGCCTCTGGCCGGCCTGAAAAAAATGATGAACCCAAAGTTTTGAGAGTTGCTGTGGAGATGCAGCAACTAACGCAAGGTCGAACTCAGCAATCACGAAAGCGGCCGCTGAATGCAAGCTGCACTGGCTGCAGTGCGCCCCACCCAGCACAAACCCACCCCATAACCAAGGCAAGACGGGAAGCCCAAGACCCCGTCATACCCCAAGGACGTGAACAACACCAAGTGATGAAGGCCTCTAACGGGAGTGAGACTCAAACAACCCAGGGAAGATAACCCTGACTCACATGGGACATACTTACCGGGCACCTAGGGAAGGGAACCCTAGGTGCATGCAGCCCAGTAAACATATAGGAACACCTGGCCACCACAACACAGTAAAGTCACAAATGCAAAGCCAGAGAAAAAAGTTTGAGGCCAGAGAGGCACACGAGTCTACGAACTGTGGGTGATGCGGTCTGCTCGACTGAGTGGGGAGGGGGGGGGTCGTGGATGACATGTTGGTTGTTTCGTTGTTTTCTATTGGGGTGGGGGAGGGGGGGGTTCTAGTCCTCTGTTCGGTCGTAGGTTGTAATTTTAACCAGTTGCAGGTTTATAATGGCTCATCTACCTTTCTGGGTGCTTTTCCCAGTTGATGGCAGACATGACAATCCCTACCTATAGAGCATTCATATAGCCATTGCTCCCTTCGACTGAGGGGGGGGGGGCAGGTTCTAGCTTGTGGCCCCCAGTAGGCACTTGAACTCCAAGGACTGATGACACCAAACTATTATGGCACATGTCAATTTGATAGTTTCAGGGAGCCGACGGGGTTCTCATTAGCTACCTGAATAAATAGTAGCATAATAAATGGTAAATTCACATGTATAGAATAAAGGGAATATTTTTGCAATATGGATCAAACGATGAACATATTTAACAAGCTACATATTTCGTTTACTGAGTAACACATAAAATAGGCTACTTCTTTGTATGGCACAAATGCTGTGATGAGGTGCACACTTCACCATTTGTCAAGCTAAATATTGGACCTACTGAACAATACACATAAATTACCTTTCCATATCCATCAAATGTGTTGATGAAAATAATACTTGGACATTTCTTCTCGACCACAAGCTTCCAGAACTTGTTGAGCGTGGAGGGAAGGGGATGCTCCGTCACTATCATGGTGTCCGGCTCATCTAGACCGTCCAATCTCACTGCATTAATATACTGGGAAAGCATCTCATCACCTTCCATCTCCAAGAAGATCCTTCGAGTATCTGCTGGTACAACAGCTGGGTTGCGGTTTAGCTGATAGTATTCAGCTTGAGATGCCACTTTGAAAGTGAGGCCAGACGGTAGGGCCAAAGCCTTCTGGTAAAGCTCATGACTTGTCCTCATGAACTCCTTCATCTGATCGTGTGCACTGACCGTGGGAATGACAGTGTTATCTCCATAGAGAAGCTCATCAAATATTTGAAGACCAAGGTTGTACTGAGCAGTGTTTTCTACTAGACGAGCTCGACAATCCCACAGTCTCTCCAAGATTTCCAGTGGGTCCACACTGCCCTGGACCATCAACATCTCGTGTAAGAGCAGCACCAGCAGGACAGTGCCTGTGCGTCCCATCCCAGTCGAACAGTGCACAACCACACCAACTGGCAAATAACGAACATAATTAGGTGGATCAACACATCAACTTTCAATAGGTACACAAGTCTTGTCGTGTGACAGTTGAAAATTCATCCCGAATAGTGTAGTTGTGTCTCAACTACAAACCCCATTTTTTGTTCAGACAAGGTGTACTTTCCCAGCATGAAAGTGTATTTTTAATTACAATGCATTCCCCATGCATTTACACTCTGTGATATGCATGGGAATGACCAGCCTTACTTTGAAATTTATCTAAATTAATTAACAGTGTGTGTGTTATAGGATTAAAAATATATCATTATTAGCATCAATATTCCTGTTCATATACATCATGTCATATTTCATGGTATAACTTTACCGTTTTGAACACCGTCACTAGAAACATATTTCCCTTAATTCCAGACAATATAGTCACGGCTGTGAGCTTCGGCGAACACTTGTGAGTTAGCAAAGTCACTTACTCTGTACCCCATACCAATCTCCCGGGCGGAGATACTCATAGCCTTCAAGCTCCAGATATTTGTAATATCTCTGTGTGCTCTATATATTCCCTGCCACTCATAGCATGTAATATACTTATAATCTTATGTTGCTCACCGACTCAAAATATTCAAGTGTCATATACTGTTCAAGTGTACAGTATTTTATTGGCATACTCTTTCTGAATATTCTCCCCTTTCCTGTATGCGAAGACCATATTCATGAAGTGTTTCATAAACAGTTAAGTTGAACAAATTGACATGTTAGGTGTACACCACGTGAGGCCCACACCACGTGAGGTCTACACCATGAAAGATCCACACAAAAACCCCGTCACAGCTCACAAATGTAATATTCACACACACTACGGTCCAGAAAGAACTATGACTGCTAATTATATATATAATTACAAACTAAATTAGCTTTCAGCAAAAACATAAATGCCAGATCATTACTGAACAAGCACCAGATAAACATCTCCAGAGCTACCATAGCCAGTTTCCTTGGGAGCAATATTTGACAGATTTTATTCTGAGCCTAAAAATTATGTTCTCAGGAAAAAAATCAAATGGTTTGCCTAAAAATGTATAATTTGTATTCAAGCAGATAATCTTTCAAGATTGTATTGTAAATAAGATATTATTATTATTCAGTATTGTTGTGGACGCAGGACAAGGGCTGAATACAGTAATAACATACACCCACAACCAAAGATGTCATTTAGTGTGACATTTAGTGTGGCTCGTGATGACAATGGTCTACACTTGAGAGTAAAGGGTGGCCGAGGCTGGCGGTGTTCTTCACAACACACTGGCCGAGTAGCAAGCATGGTAAGCGAATGACAACTCTTCGTAACTTGTTCACCACAAATGTTAATGGCTTGGCTTCAAGAACACTGAAGCCAGTACCTGAACCCCATTATGTGGGTGTAACCTTTCCTCCACTACTCACAGAACGGGGCTGGGGCCAGTACCTGAACCCCCATTATGTGGGAGTACCCATTCCTCCACCACTCATAGAATGGGGCTGGTTTGGGGTCAGTACCTGAACCCATTATGTGGGTGTAACCTTTCCTCCACCACTCACAGAATGGGGCTGGGGTCAGTACCTAAACCCATTATGTAGGTTTAACCTTTCCTCCACTACTCACAGAATGAGGCTGGGTCCAGTACCTGAACCAATTATGTAGGTGTAACATTTCTTCCACTACTCACAGAATAGGGCTGGGGCCAGTACCTGAACACCATTATGTGGGTGTAACAATTCCTCCACTCACTGAACGAGGCTGGGTCCAGTACCTGAACCCATTATGTGGGTGTAACCTTTCCTCCACCACTCACAGAATGGGGCTGGGGCCAGTTCCTGAATACCATTATATGGGGTTAACCTTTCCTCCACCACTTACAGAACGGGGCTGGGGTCCACAATAAACTAATCAAATTACATTTCAAGTAAAATCACAAGTTATATAAAATGTTGTGATGGGCGGCGTACCATCAGAGTGTGTGAGGATGACCTGCCGGAGCATGGTGGCCAGACTGTGGGCCTCGGTGGGCACGCCGTGGTCCGGCCAGCTCAAGTAGTGGTAGTGGGTCACTGTGTGAGCAATTCCATTTTTCCACACCTGCAAATACAACCAGTTTTCCTTCGGTATTTAAAATTACACTTGGCTATTTACATGAATTAGGCTGACCTGAGATCCAACACCAAAAATATGCAAAATATATAAACTCTTCTTCTGCAGCACAATGCTCGGTGAAGATTTTGTGCCATTTACTAAATATTTATGTAAATAATTAGCATGATATAGAAATAATATTAACCCACAAATCTATCTCGTTTTATCTATCTACATCTGTCTATTTTTATGTACATATCTATATACATCTATCTATCTCTATCTACATATCTATATTCATCTCTATCTCTATATCTCTCTCTATCTTTATCTAAATAGCTATCTTTATCCCACTTATCTCTATCTCTTTCTCCCTCTGGTTCCCCAACAAGAAGCACTGAGAAAAAGTAAGAAGCACTGAAGCACTGAAAGAACTGAATGGGTCTCTCAGATGCTGTGGTTTTCTTCTTTCTTCCAGCATTTTCTTGTCACTAAAAACTCCACGGAAATCATACAACATATTTCATACTTGACTGTGCAAATAGCATAGTCTTTATAATTGCTAATATTTCGTAAAGCATTTAAATTAGGCTTACTCCGACCAGCCTATATCCATCCTAAACCAATTCCTCTACAAAGTGTTTGTGGCTAGCCACAAGCGTCTGGCTTGTGGACAGACAGACACAGACATATGGACAGAACATCAGACAGATAGACATACAGAGACAGTCAGAAAGACAGACGGACAGACAGACATACACAGACAGTCAGACATACAGACAGCCAGCCAGTCAGCCCAACAGTCAGAAAGACAGGCAGTCAGACAAAAAGTCAGAAAGTGAGACAGTGAAACAGACAATCAGACACAATCAGACAGACAGACGAAGACAAGCAGTCAGACAAACACAGACACTCAAAGACAGGCAGTCAGACAGACAGACAGTCAGTCAGAAAGACAGACAGACAATCAGACAAATGGACAGACAGACAGACATTCAGACACAATCAGATACACAATCACAGTCAGACAGATAGATAGTCAGACAGACAGACAGACAGGCACTGACAGTCAGACATACAGACACAGACAGTCACACACACACAGAGATAGATAGTCAGTCAGACAGACAGACCGATAGACAGATAAAGACAGACAGATTCATTCCCCATAATATATATATGCCTTTACCAGGCCACAGGTTTCCAAACGCCCTTTAAATACCAAATGTTAAGTCCATAGCTTTCTCTATCCACATAATATATATCTCTTCATTTGCATTAATTAAATACTGTTTAAACATATTTGTTGATATACTTATTTACTTGGCCCTTGTGCCACATGAAGGAAGAGAAGCTGCCCAACTCTCCTCTAGAGAAGCTGCCCAACTCTCCTCTAGAGAAGCTGCCCAACTCTCCTCTAAAGAAGCAGCCCAACTCTCCTCTAAAGAAGCTGCCCAACTCTCCTCTAAAGAAGCTGCCCAACTCTCCTCTAAAGAAGCTGCCCAACTCTCCTCTAAAGAAGCTGCCCAACTCTCCTCTAAAGAAGCTGCCCAACTCTCCTCTAAAGAAGCTGCCCAACTCTCCTCTACAGAAGCTGCCCAACTCTCCTCTAGAGAAGCTGCCCAACTCTCCTCTACAGAAGCTGCCCAACTCTCCTCTAAAGAAGCTGCCCAACTCTCCTCTAAAGAAGCTGCCCAACTCTCCTCTAGAGAAGCTGCCCAACTCTCCTCTAAAGAAGCTGCCCAACTCTCCTCTAAAGAAGCTGCCCCAACTCTCCTCTAAAGAAGCTGCCCCAACTCTCCTCTAAAGAAGCTGCCCCAACTCTCCTCTAAAGAAGCTGCCCCAACTCTCCTCTAGAGAAGCTGTCCCAACACTCCTCTAGAGTAGCTGCCCCAACTCTCCTCTAGAGTAGCTGCCCCAACTCTCCTCTAAAGAAGTTGCCCAACTCTCCTCTAGAGAAGCTGCCCAACTCTCCTCTAAAGAAGCTGCCCAACTCTCCTCTAAAGAAGCTGCCCAACTCTCCTCTAAAGAAGCTGCCCAACTCTCCTCTAAAGAAGCTGCCCAACTCTCCTCTAAAGAAGCTGCCCAACTCTCCTCTAAAGAAGCTGCCCCAACTCTCCTCTAAAGAAGCTGCCCCAACTCTCCTCTAGAGTAGCTGCCCCAACACTCCTCTAGAGTAGCTGCCCCAACACTCCTCTAGAGTAGCTGCCCCAACTCTCCTCTAGAGTAGCTGCCCCAACTCTCCTCTAGAGTAGCTGCCCCAACTCTCCTCTAAAGAAGCTGCCCCAACTCTCCTCTAGAGTAGCTGCCCCAACACTCCTCTAGAGTAGCTGCCCCAACTCTCCTCTAGAGTAGCTGCCCAACTCTCCTCTAGAGTAGCTGCCCCAACTCTCCTCTAGAGTAGCTGCCCCAACACTCCTCTAGAGTAGCTGCCCCAACACTCCTCTAGAGTAGCTGCCCCAACTCTCCTCTAGAGTAGCTGCCCAACTCTCCTCTAGAGTAGCTGCCCCAACTCTCCTCTAGAGTAGCTGCCCCAACACTCCTCTAGAGTAGCTGCCCCAACACTCCTCTAGAGTAGCTGCCCCAACTCTCCTCTAGAGTAGCTGCCCAACTCTCCTCTAGAGTAGCTGCCCCAACTCTCCTCTAGAGTAGCTACCCCAACTCTCCTCTAGAGTAGCTGCCCCAACACTCCTCTAGAGTAGCTGCCCCAACTCCCCTCTAGAGTAGCTGCCCCAACTCTCCTCTAGAGTAGCTGCCCCAACTCTCCTCTAAAGAAGCTGCCCAACTCTCCTCTAGAGTAGCTGCCCCAACTCTCCTCTAGAGTAGCTGCCCCAACTCTCCTCTAAAGAAGCTGCCCAACTCTCCTCTAAAGAAGCTGCCCCAACTCTCCTCTAAAGAAGCTGCCCCAACTCTCCTCTAAAGAAGCTGCCCAACTCTCCTCTAAAGAAGCTGCCCCAACTCTCCTCTAAAGAAGCTGCCCAACTCTCCTCTAAAGAAGCTGCCCCAACTCTCCTCTAAAGAAGCTGCCCCAACTCTCCTCTAGAGTAGCTGCCCCAACTCTCCTCTAAAGAAGCTGCCCCAACTCTCCTCTAAAGAAGCTGCCCCAACTCTCCTCTAAAGAAGCTGCCCCAACTCTCCTCTAAAGAAGCTGCCCAACTCTCCTCTAAAGAAGCTGCCCCAACTCTCCTCTAGAGTAGCTGCCCCAACTCTCCTCTAGAGTAGCTGCCCAACTCTCCTCTAGAGTAGCTGCCCCAACTCTCCTCTAAAGAAGCTGCCCAACTCTCCTCTAAAGAAGCTGCCCAACTCTCCTCTAAAGAAGCTGCCCCAACTCTCCTCTAGAGTAGCTGCCCCAACTCTCCTCTAGAGTAGCTGCCCAACTCTCCTCTAAAGAAGCTGCCCAACTCTCCTCTAGAGTAGCTGCCCAACTCTCCTCTAGAGTAGCTGCCCAACTCTCCTCTAAAGAAGCTGCCCCAACTCTCCTCTAGAGTAGCTGCCCCAACTCTCCTCTAAAGAAGCTGCCCAACTCTCCTCTAAAGAAGCTGCCCCAACACTCCTCTAGAGTAGCTGCCCCAACTCTCCTCTAGAGAAGCTGCCCCAACTCTCCTCTAAAGAAGCTGCCCAACTCTCCTCTAGAGAAGCCAAATACTCAGCCAGTACAGTGTACATTACCTGAACAAGAGACACGTTGTAATTAGGGTGATGATCTGTCTTAACAACTTCCACTTTGTAGTCACCAATCATCAGGGCTCCTCCAAAATCCAGGTATTTACCCACATTTTCCTGATAAAATAACACGGAAATTGTATTTATTTATTATGTATATATATCTCCCATAAACCAATTGAATATGTAACTACTTATTATGTACTAGTTAAATCTAATTTCATTAGCTTAATTGCTGTAGTTTTTAGTTCAATAAATTGAGCACAGTGAATATAATCTAATAAAAAGTTAAACAAAAAAATTCTATGCCGAATAATAATGGACTATACCTAAACCTGAGGACATACATATGTACACTAGATAGTGTGTGTTCAGGTCTACCTCAGGACACACGTATTATACACTCACAGATACAGTGACAAGGTAGCTGTGAGTGACGTCTCTACCACCGCGGGGCATCATATCCACCGCGGGGCATCATACCCACCACGAGGCATCATACCCACCAAGGGGCATCGTACCCACCAAGGGGCAACGTACCCACCGCAGGGCATCATACCCATCCCTTCATTCTACACCTTCAGGAATATCTGTAACTGAGCTGGACAAACAACTGTAATTTAGCTTGTCTTATTCTTTCAGACACATTTACAGTTTTGGCTCCTGTAGTTCTGTAATGCTGTTGAATATCCGACCAATTAATTTCACATGACTATATAGATTAAATAAATCTAGAAATTTAGTTTGGCTTGATGTTGGGCTTAAGGCCTACCAACCGCTGGAGGGTTATTAAGGACGTGACACAAGCATACTGACAAGCCAGCAAGTATAATTCCGCTCTGAATATACTCCATGTCTAAAGTAACTCTCAGTGTATATTCACTGGGTGATACAGTAAACGTCTCAAGTGTATATACACAGGGAAATAGAGTACACGTCTCAATGTAAATACCCTTGAAGACAATTTAGTTTTGGTCATTTGACAAAAATAAATTCAAATAATTACAAGTACTTGTCTGAATTCTTCGTAAAAGTAAAATTACACTTTTCATTCAAGTTTAGGGTGATTCAAAAAGACACTTTAATATATAATTACCTTCCCGCCCTCCTCAAAGTTAGCCACCATTATAATGACGAAGATGTGATGTTCACAAATCATCCTCCAGAAGTCGCCGAGGGTGCTCACATTAGCCTCCTTGGGGCCTTGCGAGGCTATGTACTTCAGAACACCTCCAAACCCCTGAATATATAAGAATGATTGTTCAATATTACGTCGAGTGCGGCCTTTGGTGACATTCTTAATGATTATAATAATATTTATATACATTTTTTATGTAAGAAAATATTAATTGAAGCTATAAAATAATTTACATTTTTTCCTCAACCTATGAACCTCTCTCCATGCATATGGTATACCATGTACCGAGAGATGAAGATAACAACGAATAAAGGTATATTGTTAGAGTGAGCATTGGAATAGCTTAGTAACTACCAGTTGCGAGTCCCCAACACAGTGTCTAGTTAACAGATATATTTAACCTTGAGAAAATTATGTTCATGCAAATATACATACAAATCTCTCCAATGAATGAAGGACATATTTGAGACGAGTTCAGGAACAACCATTTCCAATGAAAGGTTAATATGTGCATGATGTTGGAATAACTCTGTACTCAATATTAATATGGTACGAAATGATTTATGGGGTGAGCACTGGACATCAGGGCTAAGCACTGATATATATGTGGCCAGATCAAGAGTGAGCACTGGCCATCAGGGCTCAGTACTAATATATGTGACCAGATCAGGAGTGAGTACTGGCCATCAGGGCTCAGTACTGATATATGTGACCAGATCAGGAGTGAACAGTGCAAATTAGAGCCCTCCACTGGTACTTACAAAACGAAATAGGTACAATATCCATCTGTGATGTTGAACACTTGACACACAGTTACTTAGAAGGTACATTAATAATGGCAGGTAAGAGATACACTTGCTACCCAGAGATACACTTGCTCCGCAAAGATACACTTGATACACAGAGACACAACTCAGAGATACACTTACAACTCAAATACACTTGCTACACAGAGAAACACTTGCTACACAGACACACTTGCTACACAAAGCCACACTTGCTACACAGAGATATACTTGCTACACAGATACACTTCCTACACAGAGATACACTTGCTACACAGATACACTTGCTACACAGAGATACACTTACACTTGCTACACAGAGATACACTTACACTTGCTACCCAGAGATACACGTACAACACAGAGATACATCTGCTACACAGATACACTTGCTACACAGAGAGGCAGGAGGAGGGACCAGTTCCACACCCTCCCAGGAAATAATACTCACGTAGACGTGGTTTGCGTTGATGTAATTAGAGAACGGGTCGTTGTTAATGACGGAGAGCTCCACCCGCGTCTCGTCATCTGCAAGTATACTGACGGTGAGGGAAGACCAGGACTAGTATACTGAGGGTGAGGGAAGACCAGGACTAGTATACTGACGGTGAGGGAAGACCAGGACTAGTATACTGACGGTGAGGGAAGACCAGGACTAGTATACTGACGGTGAGGGAAGACCAGGACTAGTATACTGAGGGTGAGGGAAGACCAGGACTAGTATACTGACGGTGAGGGAAGACCAGGACTAGTATACTGAGGGTGAGGGAAGACCAGGACTAGTATACTGAGGGTGAGGGAAGACCAGGACTAGTATACTGAGGGTGAGGGAAGACCAGGACTAGTATACTGAGGGTGAGGGAAGACCAGGACTAGTATACTGAGGGTGAGGGAAGACCAGGACTAGTATACTGAGGGTGAGGGAAGACCAGGACTAGTATACTGAGGGTGAGGGAAGACCAGGACTAGTATACTGAGGGTGAGGGAAGACCAGGACTAGTATACTGAGGGTGAGGGAAGACCAGGACTAGTATACTGAGGGTGAGGGAAGACCAGGACTAGTATACTGAGGGTGAGGGAAGACCAGGACTAGTATACTGAGGGTGAGGGAAGACCAGGACTAGTATACTGAGGGTGAGGGAAGACCAGGACTAGTATACTGAGGGTGAGGGAAGACCAGGACTAGTATACTGACGGTGAGGGAAGACCAGGACTAGTATACTGAGGTGAGGGAAGACCAGGACTAGTATACTGAGGTGAGGGAAGACCAGGACTAGTATACTGAGGTGAGGGAAGACCAGGACTAGTATACTGACATTGAGGGAAGACCAGGACTATTATACTGAGGGTGAGGGAAGACCAGGACTAGTATACTGAGGTGAGGGAAGACCAGGACGAGTATACTGAGGGTGAGGGAAGACCAGGACTAGTATACTGAGGGTGAGGGAAGACCAGGACTAGTATACTGAGGGTGAGGGAAGACCAGGACTAGTATACTGAGGGTGAGGGAAGACCAGGACTATTATACTGAGGGTGAGGGAAGACCAGGGCTAGTATACTGAGAGGAGAGAAGACCAGGACTATTATACTGACAATGAGGGAAGACCAGGACTAGTATACTGAGGGTGATGGAAGACCAGGACTAGTATAGTGAGGGTCAGGGTAGACCAGGACTAGTATACTGAGAGGAGGGAAGACCAAGACTAGTATACTGAAAGGGAAGACCAGGACTAGTATACTGACGGTGAGGGAAGACCAGGACTAGTATACGGATGGTGAGGGAAGACCAGGACTAGTATACTGAGAGGAGGGAAGACCAGGACTAGTATACTGAGGGTGAGGGAAGACCAGGACTAGTATACTGAGGGTGAGGGAAGACCACGATAAGTATACTGAGGGTGAGGGAAGACCATGATAAGTACACTGAGGGTGACGGAAGACCATGATAAATATACTGAGGGAAGACCGGGACTAGTATACTGAGGGCGAGGGAAGACCAGGACTAGTATACTGAGGTGAGGGAAGACCAGGACTAGTATACTAAGGGTGAGGGAAGACCAGGACTATTATACTGAGGGTGAGGGAAGACCAGGACTAGTATACTGAGGGTAAGGGAAGACCAGGACTATTATACTGAGGTGAGGGAAGACCAGGACTAGTATACTGAGGGTGAGGGAAGACCAAGACTAGTATACTGAGGTGAGGGAAGACCAGGACTAGTATACTGAGATGAGGGAAGACCAGGACTAGTATACTGAGGGTGAGGGAAGACCAGGACTAGTATACTGAGGTGAGGGAAGACCAGGATTAGTATACTGAGGGTGAGGGAAGACCAGGACTATTATACTGAGGGTGAGGGAAGACCAGGACTAGTATACTGAGGGTAAGGGAAGACCAGGACTATTATACTGAGGGTGAGGGAAGACCAGGACTAGTATACTGAGGTGAGGGAAGACTAGGACTATTATACTGAGGGTGAGGGAAGACAAAAACTAGTATACTAAAGGTGAGGGAGGAACAGGGCTAATATGGTGAGGGAAGACCATGATAAGTATACTGAGGGTGAGGGAAGACCATGATAAGTATACTGAGAGGTGAGGGAAGATCTCGATAAGTATACTGAGGGTGAGGGAAGACCATGATAAGTATACTGAGGGTGAGGGAAGACTGAAAAGTATACTGGGTAAGAAGGAAGACAATGATAAGTATACTGCGGGTGAGGGAAGACCATGATAAGTATACTGAGGGTGAGGGAAGACCATGTTAAGTATTCTGAGGGAAGACCATGATAAGTATACTGAGGGTGAGGGAAGACCATGATAAGTATACTGAGGGAAGACCATGATAAGTATGCTGATGGTGAGGGAAGACGATAAGTATACTGAGGAGTGAGGGAAGACCACGATAATTATACTGAGGGTGAGGGAAGACGGCGATAAGTATACTGAGAGTGAGGGGAGACCACGATAAGTATACTGAGGGGTGAAGGTAGACCAGAACTAGTATACTGAGGGTGAGGGAAGACCACGATAATTATACTGAGGGTGAGGGAAGACCACGATAATTATACTGAGGGTGAGGGAAGACCACGATAATTATACTGAGGGTGAGGGAAGACCACGATAATTATACTGAGGGTGAGGGAAGACCACGATAATTATACTGAGGGTGAGGGTAGACCAGATATTATACTGAGGGTGAGGGAAGACCACGATAATTATACTGAGGGTGAGGGAAGACCACGATAATTATACTGAGGGTGAGAGGACAAGTGTGAGGAATTCGGACTCGTAGGACTTTAATTATTTTAGTTATTAATTAATTGATTAATTTAATGTAATTTTATTTATTGCGAATAATTGATATATTATTTCTTTCGATAGCTTGGTGGACTGTATGGATTTTGAATTTTTCATAAGTCATATTCCAACACAAGTAGGGAGGGGGGGTTGTATCATTACAGTAGCCTATTATTCGAGAATTTATGAATTAACAGGAAAATTTTACTAATGGTTATTTGATTGATATTCTGGAGTTAGTTTTGTACTCAAGGTTTCAGTATGGGTACAGCTGTGGGATGGGTGAACAACCAGACATATGAGCCTCGTGGCCTATGGCGTCTGTTCCCACGTGAAGCAACAGGTTGATGTCGCTGGGTTCCCTGGTGACCACACAACATCTGCCCTCAGAATACAATATAACGGCAAATATACCTCCTATCACAGATATGGCACGTTCAAAATGATGGTAATTTATTAAGTGAGTGTGAGAGGCTCAGCCTGTTTTGGGGGGGGGGGTTCCCCGCCTCCTAACCTAAATGTCATTTATTATATTAAATGGATTAGTAATCAAATTTGGACTGTTTGAGACAAACCGGATACGAGGTGCTCTCATTATTTAGAGGTTGTGGCTGCTGAAGAACGTAGGGATGGCTCGGGTTACGAGTACAAACGTAGCTGCCTGTGTGTGCTGCCTCACGAGAGCCACGCTGTTTCAACAATGGCCGCCTCCCTCCTCCTCCTCCCAGGCTGGTGACGCCACCACAACCGGTTCAATTTCGGTCAATTTACGCCCAAAGGTTGGGAGGCGTTGATTTTATTGATTGTTTTATTTGATCCAGTCACAGCGAACAGTTTTTTATTTAATTTTAACTCTGGACTGGAGGTATTAGTGATTAATTTATTTTGAATGTAGATATTTTAATGACGTGGCAATAATATATCCCATGTTGAAGGGGAAAATTCCACTGTGATCTCGTTTTCTTTGAACAAGTTATTAAATTAATTTGTGTTAGTATTTGTTAATGGATTAGTACAAGAACAGCAACGTGATTAGTTACATATTGTAACTGTGATTATTTAACGAGGTCGTTTTTTTCCCCGACAACATGGACTATTATACTGAGGGTGAGGGAAGACCATGACTAGTATACTGAGGGTGAGGGAAGACCATGACTAGTATACTGATGATGAGGGAAGACCAGGACTATTATACTGAGGGTGAGGGAAGACCATGACTAGTATACTGAGGGTGAGGGAAGACCAGGACTATTATACTGAGGGTGAGGGAAGACCATGACTATTATACTGAGGGTGAGGGAAGACCATGACTAGTATACTGAGGGTGAGGGAAGACCAGGACTATTATACTGAGGGTGAGGGAAGACCATGACTATTATACTGAGGGTGAGGGAAGACCAGGACTATTATACTGAGCGTGAGGGAAGACCAGGACTGTTATACTGAAGGTGAGGGAAGACCAGGACTGTTATACTGAAGGTGAGAGAAGACCAAGACTATTATACTGAGGACGAGGGAAGACCATGACTGTTATACTGAGGACGAGGGAAGACCATGACTGTTATACTGAGGACGAGGGAAGACCATGACTATTATACTGAGGGTGAGGGAAGACCATGACTGTTATACTGAGGGGTGAGGGAAGACCATGACTATTATACTGAGGGTGAGGGAAGACCAGGACTATTATACTGAGGGTGAGGGAAGACCAGGACTATTATACTAAGGGTGAGGGAAGACCAGGACTAATATACTGAGGGTGAGGAAAGACCAGGACTATTATACTGAGGGTGAGGGAAGACCAGGACTATTATACTGAGGGTGAGGGAAGACCAGGACTAGTATACTGAAGGTGAGGGAAGACCAGGACTAGTATACTGAGTGTGAGGGAAGACCATGACTATTATACTGAGGGTGAGGTAAGACTAGGACTAGTATACTGAGGTGAGGGAAGACCAGGACTAATATACTGATGGTGCAAAAAGACCAGAACTAATAAATGTAAAACTCACCCAGTTATTTCCTTTACACTGCAGAAGAAAACCCTATTCAAAATGAGTTAATATCTAAAGTATCAGTGGAAGAAAAATGTTGAATGATTAATGGTTGAGGTTAGGTGAGGTTAGGTGGGTTAGGACGTGAGATTAGGTGAGGTTAGGACGTGAGGTTAGGTGAAGTTAGGTGGATTAGGTGAGGTTAGGTGAGTTTAGGGCCTCATCAACCAGTTTCTGGAGGAGATAATGGTAAAAACTGGTGTTAAAAGAATCAGGTTTACTTACAAGGAAGGTTATTCTGGCAGCGGTTCTTCCTCTTATTCTCCGGATGTTCTCCGACAGACATAGACTTGCCAACATTGGACGGGACAGACTGCAACACACACCAGAGGTCACCATCAGATGTGACCAAAACACTTACCCCTCAGTGTTTACCAACACTGAGGGGTAAACACTGCACATATCTTCCCATGATATTTGTATTTGTTGCTCTTAAACCTCCGGACACAGCTGTTTGTACAACTGTTCTCAACATTGTACATGCATCCATGAATTGGTTCATTCATGCCCCACTTGGTCCAATCATACCTCTCTTGGTACTGTGATGCCCCACTTCGTACAGTCATACCCCACTTGGTACATTTATCACCCATTAGTCCAGTCATTTCCCACTTTACACCCATCTTACCCTTTTGCCACAGCTACAAACAACTTGATGAAGTCATCACCCCACATAACCACTTTGTACAGCTATCCTCTCCGTGGTATAGGCGTCCACCACTTGTGTCCAGTCGTCCCAGACTTGCCCAAGCCATCTTAAGCTTGGCATAAACATGATACATATGATCAAGTCCAGCATATGATCATATGATCATATGACCAAGTTCAGACATACTGCCTGAACTTGCCAAAGTCATCTCCAGCTTGACACAAACATCTGCACTTTGTCAAGTCATCTCACGCCTGACACAAACATCTGCACTTTGTCAAGTCATCTCCAGCCTGACACAAACATCTGCACTTTGTCAAGTCATCTATAGCTTGAAACAAAAACCTTCACTATGTGAAGTCATCTCCAGCTAGACACAAACACCTGCACTTAACCAAGACACCAGAGTCCTCATCACACTGATCCTTACAGTACTCCACCCCCCCCCCCCCCCCGTTCGCTCCGCCTCATGCTTGCCACACCTTACTCTTGTATACCAACCACATGCACACAAACTTCAGAATATTAATGTTCAGGCAAATGTCAAATGATTAACACTTTTTTATTGAGTCGCAACTTTCCTGTTAGTGTGTGTGAGAAGTGTTGACTAACCATGCAGTCTTCCGAAGTGTCATGAGCACCAATGGACTTGTTGAGATAGGCTTCAACGTTATCAAAAGCTACACGTTGGCTCATGTTGCAGTATATGTCCTCTTGGGAGTTACTCTCGTAAATGTGTTCAGAAACATTTTCCTTATCAACTGCTGGTGGTGGAGATGTGTCCTTTTGGGGGGGATATTATTTATAAATTAATATCATACAAAAATATAATTAAATATTTGAAAATTCATTCAAATATAATAAGACAACATATTTATCTTATTATTGACAATTTGCCAAAAACCAGAAGACTTCTATTTACTGATTGTTTATATACTATGTCATACAATTTCGAACTGTGCATTCAATGACTAAATCATTCCTTCAGTTCGGTGGAGATTCTGAACAAGCACAGCACCACCTCTGCTGGTATGTATGTGTCGGGTATTAAGAGTCGTTCCTTACAGGCAGGAAATATCACCTTTCACACATTTCCTTCCCATTTACCAAAAAAAGACCTATACCAGGGCTTTAATGAATACAAAATAATGGTTTTGAAGCACACACACACACACAATATATTGTCACGGTAAAATCTCTAGTAAGGGATTCGGCCTGCTCCATCATCACCTACTCTATCATATCACGTCTATTTAATCAAGAACTGCAGTCACTAGAACAACAACTACTTCCAGGCGTCTAGACAATACCACCAGTCTACCTACACCACTGCCCGTCACCCCACCTCGCACCTGGGTCGCTGGGAGCTCACGCCATCCGAAACAAGCAGTTTAAGAGCCGGTTAATAGTTTCTGAAGCCATCAGCGCCATCTGCACGGCCGTCTTCGTATATATATAGGGCTACCTAGCCCACTCCCAGCTCAGATTACTCCTGAGTGCTCTGCCTGAGTAAACCTGTTGACATACCCCGGTGTGGTAACAGAATTATTCAGTTTGACTCTCAGTATTCCCGCACCATGTTTTATTTTGCACATTAACGTAACGTATATTTGATTGTTCATCTTGTTTGTTTTGCACACTTTGTATTAGAACGAAGCCTGGATATTATTTTGTGTTTTGTAATTTGTTTAATTTCGTTTTTTTTTTTTAAGTATTTTTAAATGTTTTTTCTCTCTGCTTTATCCTACAGTTTACCTCACAGTGATGATTCAACTTGCAGTCTAACTTTTTTCTTTCTTTTTTTCGTTTTTGTTGCTTTTATGTGACTGGCATTCCATCTGCCTAGAGAGACTGCAATACCACATATTTTTTTCGTCACAGAAATATATATATATTGTGTACATTGCAGTGTTGTACTTGTGTGTTATCGTACAGTGTTGAGTATTATTGATTTGCTGCAGTCCTTAGTGACAAGTATCTCTTTGTGAGTTGTTTTATTGTTATTGTTTGCATTACCATCATTGTTGATTACCACTGGAAGTATCGAGTGCAGTTAAGTCAGAGTGTTCACTATTGTTCAGTTAGTTCACTTTGTTCCTTTTTGCCCATGCAACAGAGCAAGAGACTAGGCCTCGTGATTACCAGTCAGAGTGGTGGGAACGCGTCCTGCTGCAGCTAGAACTGTTAAACTGTTGGAGTGACACTCTGGAATTAACGTAACATGATGTTGTTATTACCGAGTATTGGTAAGTAAGTTTGTTGAATAAATTGTTGTCGTTGCAAAAGTGTCTTTTCGTCAAAAACCTTTAATGAGTACTGCTCCGTTACTTTGGTCTGCTACTTCTGTGTTCTTGAATTTAACTGGTTTAAGCTCGAGGATCAAGCCCACAGCTTCAAACACTAAATTCAAATTTGGTGTGGGGACCCATTTGTTACCCCTCTAGATTAATTACTCAGTTGAGGGGCTAACGACCCGGTGTTGGGAGGTTCAAGTTGTTGGACCTCGGCGTTTGATCTCGCCTTCTAAATAATCTGCACATCTAGCACCCAATCTGGGGCTAAGAGTGTGTGGGAGTTTTGGTAACTCTCACAAGAAGCAACAGGAGCCCAAGTGCTCCAGGCGGACTTCTCCAGAGCCCCGAGAACCCCCGACTCGATCAGGTCCTGGTGCAAAGCCCTCTTTCCAGCCCACCACTCCTAAAGAAAAGGCAGAGTCCTTGGGAAAAGCCTCAAAGAAGCAGCTCTGCGGGGACGACCCAGCTCTGGCAGGGCTCAATCATCTACGCACCCAAATCAGAAGGGACAGGCCCCGAAGCCACCCAAGCCTCATCCTAAGCGAAACCCCTCCCCGACTCCAAAATTCTCAGACGTTATGGAGCTGTAAGCAAGGGAGGAGGAGCAGGGCGAATCATGCTTATCTGGCAAGGAGGCGGGAGAGTGGACTGAACCAAGGCCGAAACTACCCACGCCCCCCAAAACCTGGCTCAAAAACCCAAGCAGGGCAGCTCTGGGGCTTTTAACCGAATGACCAACCTGGCCTATTGCAACAAAGAGGATCAAGCATGCAATGCAGCCGCCGCCCTGAGCCCTGAGACCTTCAGACGAAGAAACGGTAATATGGAGTACAAACGGGGAACAAGTCCCACAACATTTCAAGTCGTAGGTGACACCGAACCAACAGGCAGCATGACGGAGGCAGTACGGATGATTGTCACCCTGAAGCAGGGACAACTGACAACCTTCGACCACCAACACAATCCAGGTTGGCCTAATAAGAAGCTAGGCAGACCTACTCCGCCAACAAAATCGAATACGGTAGAAACAAAAGCAAAAAAAAATCCAAAGCCACACACACAAACAAACTGGCGGCCAGAAAGAAAGTAGGCCCCTGCGAATGCAAGCTGTGTCAGTCGCTGTTCGTCCCCACCCAGCAAAACCAACTCCCTACCCAGGGCAAGACAGAAAGCCCAAGACTTCCCTGTGAACCCATAGGGCGAAAACAACGCCAAGTGACGAAGTCCTCAAAAGCGAGTGAGACCTGAACGTCCCAGGGAAGAGAACCCTGAAACGCAGAGGAAGTACTTATGGAGCAAGTACGGACGTACTTTCCCCTGTCCCCCCACCCCCTCGAAGGGAAGGGGAAGCATTAACGAGTGAGTGCGCTAGTTGGATGACGTGTTGCTTATTTGTTTCCTTTTTTTTGGGGGGGGGAGGGGAGGAGTTATTTTTTCCTTGTTCGGACTTAGGTTGCCATTTTAATCAGCTAGTGGTTTGTTTTGTTTCGCCTATCTTTCTAGGTGTCTTCCCCAGTTGATGGCAAGTATGAAATACTCTAAATGTAGAGTGCTCATATACCACTGCTCCTTGCGCCTCTCTGAGGGGATCAGGTTCTGGCTCGTGGTTCCCGGTAGGCACAAGAACTCCCGTGACTGATAACCCCACAGTAATATTGCACAATTCAGTTTGCATTGCTTCAGGGAGCCGAGGGGGCTCCCCCCCCCCCAAAGAAAAAAGAGAGAGAGAGAGAGAGAGAGAGAGAGGAGAGAGAGAGCGAGAGAGCGAGAGGAGAGAGAGAGAGGAGAGAGAGAGAGAGAGAGAGAGAGAGAGAGAGAGAGAGAGAGAGAGAGAGAGAGAGAGAGAGAGAGAGAGAGAGAGAGAGAGAGAGAGAGAGAGCGAGAGAGAGAGAGAGAGAGAGAGAGAGAGAGAGAGAGAGAGAGAAGCGAGAGAGAGAGAGGAGAGCGAGAGAGAGAGGAGAGAGAGGAGAGCGAGAGCGAGAGCGAGAGAGAGAGAGAGAGGGGGGGGGGCACGTGCCTCGAGTGTGAGGGCAAGTTTGGTTGACTGTAGCGAATAAAGGTATTCATTAACACACATCAAGTTTTATGGTTGACAATATCAGTAAGAGACAAATATTTGTCTGACTACATAAACATGCCACAATACTCACCACGGACTCACACACAACATACCTGAGATGTGGTTGGGATGTCAAGAAGGGCTAGAATGTTGTGGCTGGACAGGTCTTGCGCAGCTCTTCCATTATCATAGACCTCTGTTCTGTGTGTATCTGAAATACATGTCAACTGTAATGAAACTGAGAACAAAATCCAACGTTGAATGTATTGAAACGCCATTTTCTGGGCGAAGCCCCGTCGACTCTCTGAAGCTATTCCGAGTTGATATGTGCTATATTAGTTTTGGGTCATCAGTCAAGGGAATTCTAATGCCTACCAGGAACCATGAGCCAAAACCTGGTACCCTCAGAGAGGCGCAGGGACCAATGGCGTATGAGCACTTAACATTTAAATATATCATATTCCGCCATCAACCAGGGTGGGCACCTAGAAAGATAGACGAATCAAAACAAACAACTAGCCGGTAAAACTGCAACCTGCAGCCAGAAAGAGCAAAGAAACTCCTGCTAAAAGAAAAAAAAGAAACTAGCAGTACCATGTCCTCAACTAGTACTCCCGCTCGTTAGCATACGTCCCCCCCCCACTGATAAGGGGGCAGGGGCTGCCCACCACCTTGGTTCTAGGCAAGATGTAAGCAAGATGTAAAAAATGCCGAACGAAGGGAGGATGTCAGGATGCCTCCGGGGCTTCGAACAGAAAATTGCATTTCATTACATTCATTATTGGTTTTCCTGGGAAGACCCGTCGGCTCCTTGAAGCTAAATACCGACAGAGAAGGAAAAACAGAGACTTACCCGGGAGGATACAGCAATGCAGGGTTCAAGTAAAAAAAGAGACCAACGGCCATAACAGATGCCCCAAAGCCACACAAGGCCAGAAAGGGCCTAGAACGTTTTCTTGATATCTGGCGGCCAGAACCCTGTTCGACATATAAAAAAAACCCCACACCCTTATGTCAATCCAAGACATGTTACCAAAAGCCACAACAAGCGCCGCATACTTCCGCACGGCATGGGCGCGAGAGTAGACCACAGGCTGGCTGGACCTTATGATACTGCGGACAACCTGAGACACATAAGATGGATCCACCCAAAGAGCATCCATTGTCACATTATCAGTGGCCCAGGTAGCGGCTTAAAGTCGCCACTGGACACAACACTTGGTGCACTTAGGCCTAACCAGCCAAGAATCCACACCCTCCGGACCTCTTCAAAAGCCTGCCGTCTCATTCTTCGCTAGAAAAGAAAGAGAGGCCTGCAACCAAACAAAACTATCAACTTGACCAAACGAACAAAACCCTCAGTGCCGGAGGAGAGCATGAAGCTCCCCAACCCAAGCCCCAAAGCCCAAGGCCAAAAAAATAGGGCCTTCCGAAAATAATCACCAACCGAAGAGGCCATACTAAACGAAGAGAACAAAGAAAAGAAAGAACCCGATCCAAAGACCAAAAGGCTCAGGCGGCGCATGAGCAGACCGGAAGTGAAAAAACATGAAATTTTGCGGAACAGAGCGGAAGGAACATCCACCCTGAACACAAGCTCTAGCGGCTCCGCCAACACCGCACGATACAAAATGACAGTATTCAGCATGAGACTCAGGATCAGAAAAAGGATAAAACAATCCAGTCCAAAATCGACGTAAACCCTCGAAGAGAAAGAAAATGACGGAAAGACCACCAAGAAACTTCATACTGCCACCCAGAAGACTGCAGGTGGGACACCAACAAAGAAGCCACCTGATCACCATAGAAATGGCGATACACCTGCGTCTGAAAGACCAGATGCGAAGTGCGGAGCAGTAAAGCTAACCAGTAAGGGATCTCACTGGCCTGATCTGCTGATAAGTGTTGGCGCCGCAGATAGACGCCCAGGTTCGGACACCAAGCAAGCAGCACCTGAAACTAAGCTGGACCGGCTACCACGAAGCCAGAAAAACCCTCCCCTAATAGGATTCTAAGCGAGTCAGGACCTGGAGCAACAGCTGGAACGGGGGAATGTGTTATAGGAACCCCAACCTCGACCAGTCCTGCTGAAAAGCATCCACCATTCCACGGTGCCACGCACAATGGGAAACGCTGAGACTTCAAACGGAGAGCGAGGCCAGAATGTCCAGAGAAAATAACCATGACATGCAAGGGTAGTACTTACGGAGCAGCAAGTGAAGTGTTCCCTAGGCGTATGCAGATCCAAGTATAAGAACACCAGGCCACCACACCACACACACAGCTGGTACAGCCACATAGGGCAAAATCCAGAACAGGAGCTTGAGGCCAAGGGAAGGTGACTGAATGGACGCTAGCACATCAGGACGAGAAGTGAGATAGTGGGCGGTGTTAACCCCTCCCCCTCCCTCATATCGAGGGGAGGGATGGGGGGATACGCTAACTAGCGGGAGTACTATTTGCGGACAGGGTTGCTAGTTTCTTTTATTTTAGCAAAAGTTTCTTTGCTCTTCCTGGCTGTAGGTAGCAATTTTACCGGCTAGTTGCTTGTTTTGGTTCACCTATCATTCTGGGTGCCCATCGCACCCCAGTCGATGGTGAAATATAACATACAGTACTTTAAATGTAAAGCTCTCATATGCCATTGCTCCCTGCACTTCTCTGAGGGAACCAGGTTCTGGCTTATGATTCCCAGTGGGCATAAGATCTCCTGTAACTGATGACCCCAAGCTTATATAGCACATATCAGTTTGGATAGCTTCGGGGAAACTACGGGGCTCTCCCAGAAATCGTATATAATATATACTTGAGTGCCTAGGCCTATAGTTAACACGCACAAAAGGTGACTCTAGCTGACTAGCAGACGGAATAGAAACAAACAGGGATCATATATGGTTGCTATAATTCATATAATTAATAAACTACAATGATATAATAAAAATTCTATCATTAACTCCTAAACTATAAATAAGCAAATAAGAATTTATTTTCAATTAAAGTATTACTTTAGAAAGGCGTTCCAACACTATAATGATGCTGTACGTGAGAGGGGAAGATATTTCCCTCACATATGTAAGAGTGACATCATAACGGTCCCACAACTACGCATACATGGAAAAAAAAGTCATTACTAACACCAGTAAACGACACTGTGAACTTGGTTGGCTTGGTGCTGGACTTAAGGTAAAAAGGTTAAGGACAGCTTATAGCAGTGTCCTTATGGACACTGGACAATGTTCACTGTCCTTATAAGATATTATAAAATCCTTAATCAGAATAAAAGTAATAAAGAAAAGGAAGATTAATATAAGTTATGAGATATTTTAATGAGCATTTAGAGACTAAAGAGTCTTAACTACCATTCTGTCTAAGGAAATTATGCTGAATAGTAGAACGAACGGAGTGACCATAGTTGACTGTAGAAAAAATGTCGATAAGAGAATGGGGTAATTGCAGGTGTGAAGATCGCATCGTGTCATGGATACATCACATTAACGTGATGAGAAAATCAGTAGGAGAGTTGAGGAGGAATCGAACCTATGTGCTGGGTACTCCCAGGCGCACTCTAGACCACAACATCGTAAAAGCATTACAACCTGGGATTTAACTGAATTCTCTAGGACTCCTGAGGCTTCCACTGAAGCCTAATCAGGGTTTCATTCATCTATGTCATCATGCACTCTGACTTGTCGTCTACCTCCTACACTTCTCTTCAGTAACCCAAAGAAATCTATATAAATGAAAATGGAAATGTTCGTTTGTGCATGACCACTAATCTCCGAAAGTTCTTCACCGATTGCTTTGAAATTTTCACATAACGTCTGTGATGGTAAAAAACATTCTTTTTCTTCGTTTCGTTTTTCGTTTTGAAAAACATTCGTTTTTCATGTGAGGGGAAATCTTCAAAACCTCTTTACCGCTTGCTTTGAAATTTTGACGCAACGTTGCAATCGAATAGGCGGGTCTTTTTATATACCTACTATATAGATGCCACCTCTCTGACAGGCAAAAACATGCATTTTTGAAAAACAGCGCCATCTGTTGCACATAATAGCAACATGCACGCTATACTAAATATGTCACGAATTCCATTTCAATGTTTCCGATTGCATTGATAAATTTTATTTTTATACATTTTGATTTATTTTATTTTTTTATTGAATTATTTTGTGTGACATTGTGTTGGAATTGAGCTGTGTTGTTTACCATATCGTTCATTTCGTAAGTATAGGTATAGATGCCACACCTGTGACAGGTAAAACTATACTTTTCTTGAAAAACAACGCCATCTGTTGCATGTAAGAGCAACATACATGCTATACTAAATATGTTACAATTCCATTTCAATATTTCTAATTGCATTGATAAATTGAATTTTCACAGTTTTGGATTTATTTTAATTTTTATTTACTTATTTTGTGCAAATTGGGATGGAATTGAGCTGTGTTGTTTACCATACCGTTCATTTCGTGAGTATAGTTTTTTTATTATTTTTTCATATTTTCCTTTCATTTTTTAAATGTTTTTCTTATATTTCAGTGATAGGAACATCAGAACACTTGATGTTCCCAATTTTCTGATGGGAACATCAGACCATTTGGGAAGGCATCGGACGAGGGAGTGGGGATGAGGTGGGGACGGAAGTGAGAGATAGTGGGGAGGACGAGGGGACAAGGGAGGGGGTAATGGTGGGAAGGACGAGGGGACAGGGGAGTTTGGGATGGTGCGGACGAGGGTATGGAGGAATGAAGAATGGTAGGGAGGACAAAGCGACAAGGGAGTGGGGCATGGTGGGAGATAATGGTGGGGAGGACGAGGGGACGGTGGAGTGGGGAATGGGTGGGAGGCCGAGGAGACGGGTGAAGGGAGAATGGTGGGGAGGACTGGGGGACAGTGAAGGTTGCTGTGGCTCACAGCAGGCACTACAGCAACGCGTGGCCGGGTACTGCTAGTCACATTAATAAATCAGATTGTAGCACTCTGGGATGTAGAGCCAGAGCACATGGGGAAACTGAAACCCTAGAGGGCTCAGTTGAATCCCAGGTTGCAATGCTTTTACCATGTTGTGGTGTAGTGGTCTAGAGCGTGCCCGGGAGTACCCAGCGCATAGGTTCGAATCCTCCTTATGTCTCCTACTGATTTTCTCAATGTTTTGGACTCAAGTATACTAACTGGTTGGTCAATAAGCAATCATGGTGGTCTCAAATCAGCCTCACAACACCTACACCAAACCAACCACCTACTTTATGTTAAGTGTGCAAGCCTGAGACTTGCTCGACACTCGACACTGCACCAGGAGCTTCATCAACAAGAGGATAACTAACATCACACAGCAACATGTTTTTTCTCGCAAATATAGAGATTTATTTACTATAAGTTAATACCTTATCTTACCTTTACAATACTTGGCTCCAGACTTCCTATTTAGCATTTTGTGGCGTATGCTGTGGAAGTAACGAGAAGCTATATTTATTAAAAAAATATTATAATCTCACACTGCTGAATTTCAGCCATTTAAATGTATATTTTTGGTTGAAACACCATACAGATAATGGTAATGATGGGGTAACATACAGTAAATATCCTAACATTACAAAATTCAATATACAGATACAGAATATACAGCACAGAACCTGAGGCGAAACAGAAAGTGTATTGTTAATTTAAAAAAAATATCATAAATCACGTAAATCTCAAGTATAGTAATTCCATCAGCATTGCATATAGGAATATAATATGGTTCAGAAGTCAACTATTTGCAGCTCTTTAAATATCCGTAAATGATGCCCGTTGGTCCCATCACTGGGCGGAGGACCCGTTATACATCTAGTATACCTGGAGTATACCAGGTATACCAATATACCTTTTCTACTTGGTGACCATTGCTGGTATACTCATAATTGAGGCAGTGTCTAGGATGTAATTGTTCTAGAAGAGATTACCGGGCCATTTGAATCATGCGCCCACCTCCATGCTAATGATTAGTTCACTCTGCAGCAACACTTGAAGTAACATATGTAGAAACACCTGCAGTAACACATTAGCAATACCTGTAGTAACACATGTATTAACACCTGAAGTAACACCCGAAGTATCATATGTGGTAACATCTGCAGCAACACATTACCAACACCTGTGGTAACATATGTAGCAGTACTAGAGATAGCCTATAAAGTAACACCTGTACATCACCGTAGACCAGCATTAAGCTCCATTAACTTGGGATATAATATGTGACTGGACGCCTCATCACCACTCTACATATAACAAACAACCTCAGGACCATAACAAGAAACCTTAACATGTTATACCAGCTGGTACACCGAAGCCTCGGTGAACATCTTGGTGGAACCAGACACACATGTCACCTGATTACTTAATGTAACACTAAGCCTCTATCAACCACAGTTCCCTCATAACTAAACAACTCACTAATAAAACTCTAAACACCCCAAAAGCTTTCACAAGTCACACTCGAGTCTAAAAACAAAAAACTTGTGGATGAGAAGAAATACAGATAAGAGAGCGTTACTCTGCAAAATTAATCAGTATACCTCCAAAGGATACCTGATCAACCATGCTGTGATTAATACGTCAGGGTGCGAAAAGCCGCGTCCAACAGCCTGATTCACCAGACCATCAACCAGGACGCCTGGTCAGAGACTGGGCCGCTAGGAACTTGACCCCCGCTATCAAAGCAAGGTAACCGCAAGGTAAATACAAGACGAGCCGAATATACCTACTATTTGAGTCAATTTACCATACCTATGGCAAGATGACAAGCCGCCGTCTCCTTGTCCCCGTCGAGGCCAGAAGAGATGGCGGCCTTAGGTAAACAAAGCTACAGGGCAGAATCCTGGCCAATAAGATCCTACTAGCAACATCTCTCTATCTGTCTATCTCTGCGGGGAAATTCGGCTCTAGATTAATGATAATAAAATTCTTATATTATTCTAATATGCTCGAAGGACCACTCTTTAAAAAGAGAATAAATTGGAGAACAAGTGACTTATGTATCTCTTTGATTAAATGCAATTAAATTCTAATGAACATAATAAATCTATTAATGTATAATAAATGAACTGTAATATACTGTAAACTGTAGAGCCAAATCCCTCCACACACTTTTGGGGGTTATTCTATAAGGTTAGTTTACAATTATCCTTTCCCTAATCTTTGTCTGGTATAATTGGAAAAACCCTTTAGGATTTGTCTTCGCTTGCACTGCTATGCGAACTTCATAGTTTCTTTTTGCTTGCCTTATCTCTTTTTTTTAGTATTTCTAACCAGTTGTACGAATTCCTGTTCTAAACTGACTTCCCCATTCTTAATCCTTTTGTACCACGCTCTCTTTTTACCTATAAGGTTCTTCAGATCCTTTGTTGTCCACTTTGGATGATTAGTATTCGATCTATTCAATTTATATGGTATACTACGTTCCTGGGCTTTGCTTAGAATATTTTTAATAGGTTATATTTTGAATCCACATCGAAAACTCCTTTTACGTCACCTATCGCTGGGTTCACGTCTAGCTCCAAGACCGGCCCACAGCCCATACCCAAGACTTTCCAATCTATTTGACCCAGCAAATTTTTTAGGCTATTGAAATCAGCTTTTCGAAAATCAGCCATTTTAACAGAATTTTCTTTTACAGATCTATTCCATTCTATGCTAAATCTGATTTCTTTATGATCACTGTTCCCTAGCTCACTCCCTATTTCGATGTCCTTAATTTGTGTTTCCCTGTTAGTTAACACTAAATCTAAAATATTATTTTCCCGCGTTGGTTCCTTAATGTGTTGCGTTAGAAAGCAATCGTCAATTAATTCTAGAAAATCTTCTGCTTCATTATTCCCCTGTTTTGTCCAACCAGATTATTCCACTAAAATTAAAGTCACCCATGACATAAATACTGTTAGATCTAGATGCTCTAGATATTTCATCCCATAGATGCTTTGCTTCCATTCTGTCTAAATTTGGTGGCCTATATATAACTCCTATTATAATAATATTTGCTTTTTCGTTTAATTCTATCCAAATAGTTTGTGTGTTTGGCTCAGTTTTGATTCCCTCTTTGAGACTACATTTCAAATTGTCCCAACATATATGGCTACTCCCTCTCCTCGTCTAATATATCTATCTGTGTGAAATACTTTAAATCCATTTATTTGATATTCAGCTAATAGTTCTCTATTTTCTACATTCATCCACGTTTCGGTAAGTGCAATAATATTTATTTTTTTTCTGTGCAGACAGGAGCATTTAATTCGTTTATTTCTTCTATTTCTTAGACTTCTACTGTTAGTGTAATATACCCTAAGTGAATTGTTATTTTGAGGCCCTTCTCTTTCCCAGATCAATTTGCCAATTCCTTTCCTCCCACAAACACATACTTATATTACCTCCTTCCTCCAAATCAATTCCCATACCACTATTACTAACAGTTTAAACCCAAACAAACGCTTCTAACCACTGGTTCCAACGAGTTCGCAACAACAACAACCCCAGCCCTCGATAGATGCACCCCATCGCGAGCATACATTTCATTTCTTCCATGGAAGTGTTCCCAGTTGTCTATGAAAGATATTGCATTTGATTTGCAATATCTTTCCAGCCGGCAATTGACACCAATTACAATTTGTAACAAGCGGAAAATAGAGACAGTTTCGGTTTGTGTTTCCAGGGAGTATGATAATTGCGAAAAGACTGGTGATGGATACAGCAGAACTTCTAGATGAAATACTTTTGAGCTCATCATGGTTCAGTCGGCAATGATTGTGTCTGGGAAGTCCAGGGATGCAAGTTCGATCCCATTGCATGGCCTCAATATCGTATCATATGTTTACAAACTCTGTAATCATCTCATCAATGCTGTAACTTGCTAAGCTAAATGAATTTTGGGGATCAGTTCCTGAGCCCGTTACGTGCCTCTCTAACCCTTTCTTCACCTCCACTTAGAGCTCGTGGAAACAAGTTATAAGTGGTTACGTACACCCTACATAATACATATATAAGTATATGGTTCAGATACCACACACAAAACACAGTTAAATCATAACATAGAACGAAAAAGCAATGTAAAGGATTTGGGTGTACTCATGTCGGAAGACCTTACTTTTAAAGAACACAATAAAGTAGCCGTCACAACTGCAAGAAAAATGAAAGGTTGGATAACAAGAACTTTTCAAACTAGAGATGCTATACCAATGATGACACTCTTCAAGACGCTAGTGCTCTCTAGAGTGGAATATTGTTGCACAATGACAGCCCCTTTCAAAGCTGGAGAAATTGCTCATTTCGAGAGCGTGCAGAGATCCTTTACTGCTAGAATCTACTTGGTAAAACATCTAAGCTATTGGGACCAACTGAAATGCCTAAATCTGTATTCTCTTGAGCGTAGGCGGGAGGGATACATAACAATTTACACGTGGAAAATAGTAGAGGGGCTGATCACAAACCTGCACACAGAAATAACACCACATGAGACCAGGAGGCATGGCAGAATGTGCAGAATACCCCTGTTCAAAAGTAGAGGTGCAATAGGTACTCTGAGAGAGAACTATCAACATCAGAGGCCCGAGGCCTGTTCATCACGCTTCCACTACACATAAGGGGCATAACTGGCCGACCCCTTACAGTGTTCAAGAGAGAACTTGACAAGCACCTTCAAAGGACACCTGATCAACCAGGCTGTGATTCATATGTCTGGCTGCGAGCAGCCGCGTCCAACAGCCTGGTCGACCAGTCCAGCAACCAGGAGGCCTGGTCAAGGACGGGGACGCTAAGCCCAAAAAACACCTCAAAGTATGATATACTTCAGACTTCAGGCCATTTATCTCACAATCTTCCTTGATACATTATACTGCCTTTTCCTAATCATTGTGTGTTTACGGGACTTGATAATGGTCCAGGACGGACCAACATGTCGTCACTTCATTTATTGTCAGATGAGTGACTGGCTGTCTGATGAACTGGTTGTCTGATCAACTGTAAACCTTAGCTACTATATGCATTTCTTGCAAATAAAAGTTTCTAGTTATTATAACAAATTTACTGGAGAATAAAGGGTTAACTTACAAAATTATGATGATTGTGATGATGAGGATTAGGAGGAGAAGACCAAAGACGGAGGAAACTATGGAAAGAACGAAGCAATCCCACTCAGGCACTACTAGCTCATCCAACTTCATCTCTGCATACGCACTCCTTTCTGCAAATTTATTAATAATTTTAGAATTGATTGTTGACATCTTCGGTAGATGATGTTGTCATGTTGGTGAACAGTGGAAGCCTTTATTCTCCACCCTTAGGTGTGCCAAGTAGTTAGTTCCCTGTTATCTTGAGATGATTTCGGGGCTTAGCGCCCCCGCGGCCTGGTCCTCGACCAGGCCTCCTTTTTGTTAGCCCCCCCCCTCCCAGGAAGCAGCCCGTAGCAGCTGTCTAACTCCCAGGTACCTATTTACTGCTAGGTAAACAGAGGTATCAGGGTGAAAAACATTTTGCCCATTTCCCTCCGCCTCCACCGGGGATTGAACCCGGAACCTCAGCACTTCGAATCCGAAGCGCTGTCCACTCAGCTGTCAGGCGCCCTCCCTGTAATAACATAAGTTTAGTTATAGGATGAGATCTACGCTCGTGGTATCCCGTCTTCCCAGTACTCTTTGTCTTTGAAAACTACTGACGGTTTTGTCCTACACCACTCTCACTTAACTTGTTCCAACCGTCTATCAAAAGTGAACTTTCTAATTTTTTCCGTAACATTGTTTCCTAAGCTTGAGTCTGTGATCTCTTGTTCTTGTAGTTACAGAATTCATCTTTGTCAACTTTGCATGTAGTGATCATATAGCCTCTTTCTTCTAGCTTCTAGCTTTTACACCTCTGGTCTCTCTTCGTAGATCTTGTTTTTTTCAGTTCTGGAAGCCATTTTGTAGCATGCCTTTGCACCTTTTCTAGTTTATTGATGTTCTTAATATGATATAGGCATCATACAACTGCTGCATATTCAAATTTTGGTTTCAACAAAAGTCGTGAATAATTTCTTTAATATTTCACCCTCCATGTATTTAAACCCGATTGTGAAGTTGTAAAGCGTAGCATTTGCTCCTCGCACAATGTTCTTCAGACTGACTCTGGTGACAGTCTACTATTCAGAACCTCCCAGAGATCTCTTTCTTAGTCAGAGTTCTTTAATGCCTTTGTACATAATTTGTGGGTTGTGTGTGGGCTATTTTATCCTATTCCATATTCCATAACATGGCATTTATTCACTTTGAATTCCATTTGACAAATGTTGCTTCATACATTATTGTGTAGAGGTCATCTTGATGGGCATGAAAATCGTCTAAGTCTCTTATCCTTAGTAGCTTAGCATCATCGGCGAACATATTCATATCGTTCTGTATTCTTTCTGGAAGGTCGTTTATATAGACGATGAACATTACTGGTGCAAGAACTGAACTTCTGGTACTCCACTAGCAACAGTTCATCAGTCTGATACATTGCCTCTGATTACCGCCCTCATCTATGTCAGCCAAATTTTCATCCATATCAGCAGTCTGCCTGTCACCCCTCCAACACGTTCTGGTTCCCAGAACAACCTCTTGTCTAGGACTCTGTCAAAAGCCTTCTTGTAGGACCAGATGAACAGTCAACTCACTCATCTCTTTTTATTAAATCTCTGTGGCTCTATCATAAAAACTAAGCAGATTTATTGCACAGGATCTTCCTGTTCGAAAGCTATACTGTCTGTCTGTTATTTTATCACTTCTCTCCAGGTATTCTACCCATTTAGTTTTAACTATTTTTTCCAAGTGTTTACTACGACGCTCGCCAACGACACAGTGTATAATTTAGAGGGCATTCACTGTTACCATTTTTGTAAATTGGAACAATGTTTGCCTTCTTCCATATATCTGCTGAGATTCCTGTAGATTCTCTCAGAATGGAAGGTGAAAGCCCATCTGCTTTGTTTCTTCCTAGCTCCTTCAGTAATGTTTCCACTTCGTTTCGAGAAACTTCTATGTTCTCTATTGTGTTCTCTGAAATTGGCAGTGAAATTGGTTCTTTGATAACTTTATTTTTCGCAAACACACTTTGGAACTATTCATTTAGTGTTTCACACATTTCCTGGCTGCTCAATTTCGTTCTTATTTATATCTCCTCAATATGTTGTAATATGAAGTTACATCTGGGTGTGATATTGTTATCTTAAGACGATTTCGGGGCTTAGTGTCCCCGCGGCCCGGTCCTCGACCAGGCCTCCTTTTTGTTACACACCCTCAGGAAGCAGCACGTAGCAGCTGTCTAACTCCCAGCTACCTATTTACTGCTAGGTGAACAGGGTAATCAGGGTTAAAGAAACATTTTGCTCATTTGTCTCCGCCTCCACCGGGGATCGAACCCGGAACCTCAGGACTACGAATCCGAAGCGCTGTCCGCCCAGCTGTCAGGCGCCCCAGAATTAAAGCCTGGAGATGCGAGGTAGAGATGCAGATTTATCGTTGAGATAAAAGTTCTCATAAGTTCAACTCTATGCTTTAATTATAATATTTATCTTCAGAAATTATCACCATTAATAATTTCAGCAATATAATTACCTTCGAGCTGCACCCTAGCAACAACAGCCATCATATAAGGTTGAGCGGGTTTCAGCGGGCAGTTGGGGTAAGGGCCGCCGCTTGTCATCTCACCAACCATAAATTCTTCTGCAGCCTGTCAACAGAGAAGTTTATGTAACTTGCATATTAAATAAATGCTCTACTTTTCCCACAAACTTTATTCTGGACTAATAGGAAAAGTGCTACTATGGAAACAGGTATATGTTTACATAGTTACGTCAGTGCTGCCAACCCTTCCCACATGACGACGTCAGGGTGGACCTCCAGGGAACAACATTATTATTTATTTATCAAATTCCAACACATACGTACACACAAGGGACAAGCAGTAGTAACACAGAAGCAAACAGGAATTATAACAAGTGCAAATTATGGGTACGCGAAATGAGTAACAAAATATACAACAGAACCCAAGTGAAGTCCACAATTAAGTCAACTCACACAAGAACTCAGTAACGCAATATAACTCCATACAAAACACAACATAAAATAAGAAATAAACATCTGAGAAATAAAGAGCCCAGCAACACTTGTACATTAATGAAGCAAGGTATTACATATTGGTTACTGGTACTGTTGCTACTGTGGCTGCCACAGTCGTGATTACTACTGTGGTAGTCGTTACTACCACACAACGCTTTACCAATATATATTACCACTCAACTTGCAAGCTATTACTAAATGTCTAAAAACTTATTTTTTATATTGTTCATGACAGGCAGAATTGTATCAATTTATATAAGTTGAAACGAATAAAGCTAATGATTGTGACAATTGTGGTTGACAAAATGTGCACTACGGTATAATCAACGACAAAATCCAGCTGTCCTAGTAGCGTCGCATTTGACGTATACTCTACCTAGGGCCAAAAATTGTCGTACTAGAAAAAAAGTAGCGGCTCACGAAATTGACATACTGGTAGGTTAGGATAAAGGGACTTTAGTACGACAGTTTCTTGACGTTGGTAAACCTTAGGCTGATAAGATTACATTGTAGTACTTGTGATGACTGGTGACGAGAGACAAACCTCAACATACCTGTGTTAACACGGCAGCTATGTACGTCCGGTTAGTGTCCTCACAGTGGCGGTCGCCTGCCTGCCGCCTCACCCGCTCCCCACCTGAAGCTGACCTCCTCTGGCTTATACCCTCTGCAACAAGCTTTATATACGTGGCAGTAAAGTTCTCGGCCACATCTTGTGCGTCCTCGGAGAGCCGAGACACCAAAATTGCCACAGATCTGCAAAACATGTAAGGATACTTTGTACTCATGCCAGGGACATCACAGTGAGCTACTGACTATGGTTCATAACGACGAACAAAAGGGGTGAATCTGAGGGAGTGGAGAGAGGTGGGGCCAGATTTCGTGCCATATGTTACGAACCCAAGTCCACCGTTGGAGCACGGAGCAGTGACGTCAACGCCATCTGCGAGTCCGCTCCCGAAACCCCCACGAAATGGACGACGCCTCTAGTAGTGGCAGGAATATGCCAGCTAGACAGGCTAGATTCTTGTCCTAGTCGGCTCGTGAGGTAGCTGGTGCTGACCTCTGGTGAGGTGACGCTTAGAAAAGCAGTGTCATCTATTGAGCGACAGGGTGTATGTCTATGTCAGCCAGTAAGTGATGTTTCCTAGTGGTCCCATGTAGTGTCCCAGTACTGATGACGTGTCTGCTTTCAGAGCCAACCTAGGACTGCTGTGATGTACGATGAGTCAGTCTACCCAAGGCAGCCAAAGTCTCTTCACCAGTCTGCTTTGTAGAAGCAGTAAGCCGCCACCGGACGAGCACTGCTGAGTGTTCAATTGTCGGCCTGAGGAGTGGCAGTGACGGGATTCGCCGTACCCGGGGCTGGCTGGTGGAAGAGACAACCCACTGCAGTGCCGATCGAAGAGAGTAACCATCGAGTTACACAAGGCTCCTGCCTAGGGCTTGCAACCCTAGTATTCGTCGTGGAGTGGCCTAACAGCGAGGCTGATTGGTACCTGCCAGCTACAGGCTCGACTGTGGTTGTGGGCCTTCACGACGGGGCACCCAGTGGGATTGTGATTTGGCTGGCCTGTGGCCAGGGTAGATTCATCGTGGTTTCCTGGTACCTGCAGAGGGTTGTGCCACGGAATAGGAAACCAGGCAAGACTACACGGTGTGAGCGTCGCCAAGTGTTCAGCGTCTTCAGAGGGAGACAAAGATGTATATTGTGTAGTAATATTTCCCGTTTGTGACTTTTAATTTATATATGGTAGTGGGGAAAAGAATTATATAAATATATAGAAAGCGATATACTTGTGTATTTAATGTACCTCCCCTGTTTATTTTACTTGCATTACGGAGCTCACCCCTTGAAAGCCTCTACTAACTTGGGGCCGGATACCCAAAAAGTAATACCATCAGAAAAGAACCCAGTTGCGTCCCATTAGGGCCGTAACACCATACCAGAAAGTGGTTCTGATCCTGTCATGTCAGGGGGCTTGACTACCTTATCAGAGTGCCACCATCACCTTCTGTGACAATGGTGGGCAGGACTACAGTAAGACTAACCTGTCACCGTCACCTTCCATAGTAAGGGTGGGCAGAGCAAGAGTAACGGTGGTGTTGGTCTTGGTCTTCACTTGAAGCTTGCCGCTCAGCTTGAGAGGAATGGGCAGAGTGGCTACAGTTTTGACAAAGGGCTTGCCACATCCTGCAGCGTTACAGAAGAAAGCCTCAGCTTCGTACCGTCTTCCTTGCTTCAACTTTGACATCTGAAGTGACATTACATAAACATTAACAACGTTTAATGAATCGACATCTAAATAAATTATTAATTTTAAGATTGACATAGATGTGAAGTGCTAGTTTGTCAGTGCATCTTGAAAAGACACTAATTACCTCATCTTCCTTAACTTAAATGCTATATGGCTTTATAATCGGATTTAGAAGTTAACAAAATATGCCAACGCAATTAAAGCTTAATTTGATCTCTGACCTACATTCAACACACTGTATAGGCCTATGTAATTCTTCGGAGATACAAGATTCTTTTGATCAACAAGAACAGCTTCGTTAATGTTATTTATAAGTGCATATTAAGTATTGATGATGGATGAGTCACGACACAAGCTAAGATGACTTTATTTAACCAGTGTACTGGTGCTGGGTGACCAGTGTACTGGTGCTGGGTGACCAGTGTACTGGTGCTGGGTGTGGGTGACCAGTGTACTGGTGCTGGGTGTGGGTGACCAGTGTACTGGTGCTGGGTGTGGGTGACCAGTGTACTGGTGCTGGGTGACCAGTGTACTGGTGCTGGGTGTAGGTGACCAGTGTACTGGTGCTGGGTGTGGGTGACCAGTGTACTGGTGCTGGGTGACCAGTGTACTGGTGCTGGGTGTGGGTGACCAGTGTACTGGTGCTGGGTGTGGGTGACCAGTGTACTGGTGCTGGGTGACCAGTGTACTGGTGCTGGGTGTAGGTGACCAGTGTACTGGTGCTGGGTGTGGGTGACCAGTGTACTGGTGCTGGGTGACCAGTGTACTGGTGCTGGGTGACCAGTGTACTGGTGCTGGGTGACCAGTGTACTGGTGCTGGGTGTGGGTGACCAGTGTACTGGTGCTGGTGCTGGTGGGTGACCAGTGTACTGGTGCTGGGTGTGGGTGACCAGTGTACTGGTGCTGGGTGACCAGTGTACTGGTGCTGGGTGACCAGTGTACTGGTGCTGGGTGTGGGTGACCAGTGTACTGGTGCTGGGTGTGGGTGACCAGTGTACTGGTGCTGGGTGTGGGTGACCAGTGTACTGGTGCTGGGTGAGGGTGACCAGTGTACTGGTGCTGGGTGAGGGTGACCAGTGTACTGGTGCTGGGTGACCAGTGTACTGGTGCTGGGTGACCAGTGTACTGGTGCTAGGTGACCAGTGTACTGGTGCCGGGTGATCAGTGTACTGGTGCCGGGTGACCAGTGTACTGGTGATGGTGACTGTACTGGTGTACTGGTGCCAGTGTACTGGTGTGGGTAACCAGTGTACTGGTGCTGGGTGTGGGTGACCAGTGTACTGGTGCTGGGTGTGGGTGACCAGTGTACTGGTGCTGGGTGTGGGTGACCAGTGTACTGGTGCTGGGTGTGGGTGACCAGTGTACTGGTGCTGGGTGTGGGTGACCAGTGTACTGGTGCTGGGTGTGGGTGACCAGTGTACTGGTGCTGGGTGTGGGTGACCAGTGTACTGGTGCTGGGTGTGGGTGACCAGTGTACTGGTGCTGGGTGTGGGTGACCAGTGTACTGGTGCTGGGTGTGGGTGACCAGTGTACTGGTGCTGGGTGACCAGTGTACTGGTGCTGGGTGACCAGTGTACTGGTGCTGGGTGTGGGTGACCAGTGTACTGGTGCTGGGTGTGGGTGACCAGTGTACTGGTGCTGGGTGTGGGTGACCAGTGTACTGGTGCTGGGTGTGGGTGACCAGTGTACTGGTGCTGGGTGTGGGTGACCAGTGTACTGGTGCTGGGTGTGGGTGACCAGTGTACTGGTGCTGGGTGTGGGTGACCAGTGTACTGGTGCTGGGTGTGGGTGACCAGTGTACTGGTGCTGGGTGTGGGTGACCAGTGTACTGGTGCTGGGTGTGGGTGACCAGTGTACTGGTGCTGGGTGACCAGTGTACTGGTGCTGGGTGACCAGTGTACTGGTGCCGGGTGACCAGTGTACTTGTAATGATCTGGGGCTCAGATCATTGGTTCTCCCTTCTCCCCTCTTTTCCCTCCCCTTCTCCCCTCCTTTCCTTCTCCCTCTCCCCTCCCTCCCTTCTCCCCTCCCCTTGGCCGTCATTCGTCTCCTCCTCTCCCCCCCCCCCCTGTCGCCCATTTGTCAGGGTCAAGAGGTTGACCTGAGGGTAGGGTGGTCGTGGATACCTTGGCTTCTCCCACTCAACTTCCCCACTCAGATATTTCCCTCTCCACCCCCTCTCATCCCTCTCTGTCCCTCTCAGCAGCGGCCTTCCCCATACGAGGCAGAGTCAAATGTCCCTACTCCTATCTTAGAGGAGACAGGCTTGAACATAAATTATCAGTTTTGTAAACATTGCTCGCAGGTGCCTGGGCTCCATAGACGCGCCTTGTCCCCCTTCTCTTTAGCTGGGGAGAGCTGACTCAATCTTCAGGAATTCATGTAGCTTTCCACGACAGATCAGTGAAGGTGATTGGCCTGAGATAAGGGCCAAGTCCTTATTGGCCCTAGAGAGCCAGACCTCAGGCCTACGTGTTAAATGGTTGGCCAGGGCCAAAATAATGGGTGGAGCCCTGGGGCTGTATTAGATGGTGGGAGGAGTAATCCTTCCCAGCAATAAGTTGGTAAAACTAAATTTCATCAGTGTGTCTTGGGAGTGTATTAGGAACAGGGCCGCAAGCCCGTATCCTCGGGGCTGAGGGCAGCCATCAACATCTTGGCCGTGGTGCGGGTATTTAAGGTATAGTGCACTTGAGTTTTGTGTCCTCGGTAAATATCCATTGTGCCTCTAGGGAAATAGAATAGGTGATGTGTTCAAATTGTCTTAATTTACATGTTTCATAAAATAAATGGTATAGCTTGTCCAGTGGTATTCACTTAACTCCCCTTTGATATATTTTGCTACTTTGTCATTTTTAGGTGTTGTATTGGAAGCCCCCATGTTCTCCTACTATTAATAGATACTAAAGTTGCCCTTGGATTTAAATTAGTAACGTAAATTACACAAACTAATTTTCCAAAATTTATTACTGAAATTCATATTACCCGGAGTCCCATGGTTACTGATTCCTTGCCTTCCTGGGGGATCGGTGATTGACACATTCAGGTATGGTTGGTCAGGAAGGTGGTGGCAGTGTAAATGTGTTTTGTTATTGTTTTTTTTTTACTAATAACCCTTGTCCTTGGTGTATCTTCCTCATTTAATATTCCTCTTACATACGTGGCAGTCCAGTGAGGGGTCATACTGGACTGTAACAGTGTTAAGCTGGGGTATTGAGTGGAGGGAGACAGAGATGTACAACAGAGAGCGTATATTACGATCACGAGAGATAACAAGATAACAGGATTAATACTGGGGAACATCGGGTTATTACAATAGAGGCCGCGGTTATTACGGCAGGGTAAGCGGTCGTTACAATGGTAGCAGCGGTGTTTCAATAATTTCTTGACGATTATTGAAGCCTCACGCGTCTGTCCGTTCGGTTATGTTATGTGGTGAGGGTGCAGCCGGGGCCCATGAGATAGAGTCGACGGTAATCCTATGTGGTGCGATTCGCATAGAGTAGGCGATTCTAGGGTCGTGCGGGCTGGGAAGTTCAAGTATATACAGTAAGCGTATGCGCTAAGCAGGCAGTTTAGCGTGGAGGCCGCCTTGGGTAGTTGGAAAGGGTATTATTTTTTCTCGACCCTCTGCAACTACGGACAAGGGTGCTGCGTGGTGGTTTTCGCAGCAACAATTCTAGGTGTCGAATTGTCGGGGCGGGGAAGTATTAGGACGCTAATTATTATCCCCGAGGGCGTGGTAGGCGACCCAATCGCTAGATTTTTACGGTACAGCCATGAAGGTACCAAGAGTCACTGAGGGATGGCGTAGTAGATTCTCTAGCAACGGAATTACGGTGGTGTCGGACAGTTAGATCCGTCGGTTGTTCCGCTATCTAGTCTAACCGTTGACCGCGAAGGACAGGATTATTTGGTACTGTCGGCATCTAGGTGGATGTGGTTACCTAGGCTTGGAGAAGCGACAGGGCGGGCCGGGACGGGACGGTTATAGGTTAAATCGAGATTTCCTTAAGTACTAAATTAAGTTCCCTGTATATTAAGTTCCTTTCAGGTTAAGTATCCCTTCGTTAGTTAAGTGTTTCCCCTTGTTTACGTAATTCTCGTATATAAGTGTTATTATTTTTCTAAGTAATTGTTTTACATGTTTAAGTCTGGATTTTTGTTCGTATTGTGCAGTATTAATTCTTTGAGGGAATTACTAAAAGGTGAGTGGTTTACTGTGTTCAAGTGAAGTGCGGTGTATAAAGTGCAGTCAGTGAAAGAACTGAAATCAGTGAAATCGTGGAAAATTTTTGTGATGACATTTTTCAAAGTCGCTTGGAAAATCTCAATTTCGGAATAAATTCTAGTTTTGTGCCGGGCCATACGATCATCGGGTCGTCAGTGTTAATTCAAGTGTGCGATTAAAGTGATCCGAGTGCGAACTTTGAGAGACCAAAAGTCGAATTTTGGTCATTTAAGCGAATTAGCGTTGGGACTCTGAATTTTCTAGCGGTTTTACTCAGCGCCCAGTGTGACAGCGCTCAGTAATTGTTTGCGCTCAACCAAGTGTCTAAGTGTCTCGCGAGTAGTATATTCATTTCAAGTGATAAGCGAACTACACGTCGGTATTTAATTTATAATTTTGAGAAAAGAAATACTTGGTTAATTAAGAATTAGTGCGGAGACAACTTTCTGAGGATTAGGCTTCGTGACAGTGAGCGCGCTTTTAATTTTTGTATACTTATCAACGTGTCTAGGTGGTTAGCGAGTGTTATATTCCGTTAAAGTAACAAGTCAACTACGCGCCAGTATTTAAATTATAATTTTGGGAAATTAATTACTAATTTTTACTTAAGGTTCAGCGCGAATCTGTAGCTGTGAGCGTCGCAGTTATCAGTGTATATTTCTCAGTATTCTACAACGCGACCGGCGGTGAACAAGTGTATGCTATGTAAACATCGAGTTCATACAGTAACGTAAATAATTAATTTAACATTAATTTGGTTTAACTA